TTTCTATCTTTTAATGATCAAGTTTTAAAATTTCACCAAAATAACGAGATGTGAGTTCATGATCCAAAGAACAAGCTGGATGAACAAAATGGAGGGGTTTTTAAAGTCGATGAGAAACTTTTTAAATGACTTATCTGACTATCTTTGTCCCACATATCACTGATTAATACTATGTCTGCGCAAACTTTACTATAAATACAGGCAAAGAATGGAAATTTATTTAACAAAAATCAAAGACTGGTTCTGTTACAGGGGTCAACGTTGAAATTTGTCAGCATGGGATTCCTGGGCTCCCTCTCCATAGAACTTGAAGCAGAACGATCAAAGGCAACAGACATTATCATATCATATCATATCATATCATATCATATCATATCATAACAACTCTTACCTAGTATATATCCACTTCTGTAGTGTCACGTCTCATGTGTACTGTAAGATGCACGCACTCATCCATGAATCATCCCCATCATGTTCACTCCTTTGCAGGGGAAGGGGGCCATGTCTGTGTGGTTGGAATTACTGTAGCTATGCAGTCACTACTGATCTCCATCTGCCTAGGTTTGGCATCAGAGTTTCCCATCTCCTTGGCGCAGAGGTGCGGCTACAAAACTCACCCTAGGGCAAAGCATAAAAGGCTTGTTTTCATTAGGTTTTCAGGTAAAAAAAACCTCAGACGTAAGGGGATTTCGTAGTTTCCCGAGGGTCTCAAAGTTAATTCAAAATCACAAACAATTTACAATCGCCTCAAAAAATCAGGAAAAAATCCCGTTTTTCATTTTCTTCAATGGTCAGTGACCAAGATATGTAAGTAATTCAGTTTTGACAATCAAGTACGCTAGCCTCTAACAAAACTTTGGTTTGAGGCTGGCGTCCTGATTACGACAGCCTGGGTACGAGCAAAACCGCGCGGAAACTGGGACTTAGGATACAAAATGAAAATGTTTGACGAACAAGCCCTCCGAAGGAGAAAAAACTGCCAAACGTTGCTGTGTATCCTGTAAGTACATCTGTAAAAACTGCACAGAAAACAGTAAATTTCCTTTTTTATGAACTTCCAACCCACAACCGTCCGCAAATCTATCCAGTATAAGTGCTCGCGCTTTACGAAGATGCATTTTGCGTCATCTTAAAATCTTAAAACAATACACAAGCTGTAAACATTCGCGAGCCAAAAGAACATCATATTTACACGTGTTTTCCAACGAGTGTCTTGTAGAGGAAAATCAACGGTCAAACTGCGTAAGATTTGAGATTGATCATATTGAGGTAGCAGATAAAATGTAATTGTGTAACGTTCCATTGTTGTTTGTTCATCGGTCACATGTTACGAACGTTTGTGTATTTCTGTAGGTGATCAGTAGCTAGTAGTGAACAATATCTTCCCTTGAATGGGTTAAACAATGTGTTTAATGAAAATAGTTGATCTTACACTTGGGAGCCTGTGTTTGGTTGTTCCATACGAAATACGAAGGAAACAACAAAGGACACTATCGAGTCTTGATCTCGTGTTTGTGAGGTGTTGGCGATGTGGGATCTCCTCCCTCCTCCTGTGTTTCAATGGTTACTTTCATAAAGTTATTTTTGATCACTGTGAACTGGAAGATGGAAGTTTTATCCATGATTTACCTGTAAGATCCCTTTTCAATATGGATTTGTGGTGCAAGACATTTTGATAACCCTTGCAAGACAGTTTCCTCCGTTGATTGGAACAGCTACTAACACACTCTTTAGAGGACGATACATGGTTTTGAACCCAGGATTGTTAGAATACCTCAGCCTCATATGTTAGATGTACATATGTAGACAAAGGTCAAGTTAGTAACGAATGAGTTTCAATCTGCCAATTAAGTTTGATTGTAGAGTTTAAGTTTGCCAGATGCTTGTTTCCTTTAATTACGTAACCAGACTTAAATCTAGACTTGACTCTGAGATAACTTGGCGTCAATCATCAACAACATTCATCTTCATGATTGCCCTCATCAGAGCAATTCAGAATATGACATTGTAAGATTGTTTTAACCATAATAATTTTAACTTCTTAGTTCAAAGCTTTCAACATACCTTTCAGCTTACCAGATGAGTAATTACCAACATAACATCAATGGGCCTCACTTCCCAGCGGGAGCACATGTGGCTCATTACAGTCTAGCAAACACAACTCTGATTGGCCAGGAAGTACAACATCGACTCTGGGAAAAGCACTGGGGAGAGCAGTTTCCAGCCCCACCTCCACTTTACATGTGGTGCCAGCCAGGAATATGTTTACATAGTTACCCATATGGCTTGCCTCCCACCTTCCGTCCTGTTTATGCACAGACTGGCTCTGACCAATCAGAGCATCCAGTGTTGTTGCCAACACCTAGACAGGAAAAGAGCAGTGATGCTCCAGACAAGACTTTTACAGCTAAATCAGACAATTCTTTGGTAGGAACTCTTCAGAAAACTAAAACATTGACAAGAAACACAACGACAACATCCAAGCTAACACAAGTTTTCAATTCTGTGGGCCATAAGGTCAGTGTCCCAATTCTTTCTATGTTCCACGTATTTCTACAAGTCATATCAGGAGAATTTTTTTCCTGACATGTACCTTGTTATCATGAACAAGAATCTGATCAATTTACTAGAATGGTCATATGGCTTAGTTTGTGAAACTTTACTCTGAAGATCACCAGTTGCTTTGCATGAGATACTTGCTCATCACAGTTTAACCACAGCAGTCCATCAGGTTTTTCCCTCTGCTTGATAGTAAGTATCTATTATCCAGATTTACTTTGGGCAAAGAGAGGAGAAATGATATCTCTCCTCAAAACACAATAATGACACCAGCCAGGACTGAACCTTTAACTTCTTGATGTCAACCCCAGATTCCAAGTTACACGATGCCTTCTTGCAAGAGTACAATTTCCCTGTTGTCACTTTTAGGAATCTCAGCACAAATTGATGTCACTGCTTACCCCTTATCTACTTAATGTGATCAACTCTTAGCTTCTCCTTGCAATTCCAATATGATATCTTGCAAGCTGGTAATGAGAACAAACAAACTTATCTGCTAAAGGGTGTTCTTTGAGATAAGACCAAACTCTCCTGTCTAAGTTAAAAGGAGATGTATGGCAGCCAGAAGGGAGATTTACTGTTTGAATATTGGGAGTCAAAGAACTATGTAAACAATTTCATTGAAAGTCTGTTTGTATGGTGATATCATAAATGATGTATACTGATATTGCAATTATTTTCCTTAATCCAAAATGCAGGCTTTGGACCCAGTGACTGAAGATCTTAACTGGAATATCTTCAGCTCAGATCTGGCAGATGGAATTGTAGTCAGCATATTGGATAGTTTCATCTCTGAGCTTCCTGTGCTTGATATAACCATGGTACAGTCTGTATTGCAGGAAATTGACAAACATTTATCCCAAGATGAAGCTCAAAGTAAGAATAGCTCAGTCAAAAAATTGGATTACTTTAGTGACATTGAAAGTTTGCCCTGCACACAACAAACTTGCAGTGATGAAATAAGCAGCGAGGAGGCAGGGGGATCAGGTGAAACGACTAGAAATTCAGACAAGTTAGAAAACTGTACAACTCTATCTGAAGCACATGGTTTTTCAAATATCTGTGGAGAGGAAGGTAATTCTTCCCAAGGCTTTCACACAATTGGAAAGACATTCCAGGAGGAAGAAGACAGCTGTTCTGATGTGACCATTGTCAATCCAGACACATCAAACACAAATGAAATTGAAACATTAGGTATTGATAGCAATTTAACAGATGGACAAACAAAGCAGATAGCTAGTGACGATGACTTCAAGGAAGAACAGACTTAGAAATTCTTAAAGCTTAATTTCTTGCAAGTAATCATCATACTGACTGCTAATGAGCAAGACAATGCAATCACATGTAACCATTACACAGTCCTTACATAAATTCCTGTAAAATAATGAAACTATTTCAAAGTAAGAACTAAATGCAAACAATATTTAGAGATTAGATAAGCTTGATTAAAAGTGATTTTCTGTGATCTCTTATGCACATAGGCACAGTTAAATTAGCCAAATGACAAAAAAATTATCAGAAGTGGTATAAGAACAGGATCATGCCAAAAAAATCAATAACAAAATAGTCAAGAATAAAAAAAAAAGTCATGCAAACCAAACTAAAATTAAAAATTAGTTGCATTACAAAGGTGCATTGATATATGCATCAGCCACTTAACTTTGTGAGAAGGTTTTCTCATGTCCATGACAACCCCATGAATGAACAATCTGGAACCATTACACAACTTCAGTTGTTAGATTACTCACCTTGAGTCCCACAGGCTATAAAATCACGGCAAAATAGATCAGCTTTTTTTCACATCACAAGCTTGTAGCATTCAACAAACTTGTAAATCCCCATTTGATTCTATGATGTTGTCTGCTATGGTTTTTGAAACAACAATCACTGTCCTCAACGGCAGTCCATTACCTCAAGTAAATGACTGACTTCAAATCTCATGTTCTGGCAATGACTGCAGTAAGTAATCCTTAAATACAACTATTATTGAGAGTGGAACATCAGAAAAGATGAGTGCTTGATCGTGTTGTTAGAAAGTAAGCTACCACTTTGCAAACCACCCAGTTGTGACGCATCACTTGTGAAAAAAAAAAGTCTACTACAACTTCACAGTCAAGTTGGGGGGATAACGGCAAATGAGCAACTGTCAGACAATATCTTTTCTCAAAGTCAAACTTGTCACTTCCACAATAGAGCCCTTCCATGGTCTTGTCTTCAGAGCCATTGAGCTTTTTGCCATTGCCACAAATCAACGAACACCAGAGGCTAATCACGTTTCTCAACGCCTTGTTGGTTGGTCAATGCCAAACTAGTATGTGGCTACACCAGTGTGAACTTTTTGTCATTGGAAGGGGTTCAGAGTTAACCTTGGACATACTCAAACCCCTTAAGATGTAAAGCAATTAAATAAATAAGAAAAACAATAAAACTTTACTTCTGCCTTTAAACACTGTATGTTAACTTTATTACAAGATTCTTTAACAAAACCAAAAAACCTATTCTGTACAAAAGCTAAAAAGGATCCTAGGTTACACAATTTAATCATGAGCAAGGTCATTTTATGCGTGTCCTCCTCCTCTTGGAGTCCCGCCCTGCCTGCCACGGGGCATTTGTGTCCCACGACCACGATGAGCACCAGGACCTAATGAATAGGCAAGATGGATATATCAGTATACAAAACCAGAAAGCTGAAGGTCATGGAGGTTCACAATTAAAAAATGGACTAGCACACTAGCATTGACTAATTTTTGTCTCTGTAAGTTTCCATGAGATCTACTGCCATTCCTTTACAGCTTTGAATGCCTTAAGTTTGGGAGCAAAACAAGATCCAAACATCTCACCTCTCACAGGATCCCTTCTTAGACGACGAACTCTTCCTGATGCTGAAGTACCTTCAAATTACATTTACATTTCTTTATTACCCACTTATTGGAATAGTTAACATGATCTTATTAAGGGTAGAAATAGCAATAAGACTTCTGTAATTATTATTAGTAATAGGGTGGGAATGAATTGCTGGATGGTGAACTCTAATTTGAGAAAACTCTCATTGAGTAAGAAGGTCACTCAGGAATAGACAACAACACAACATGACTTAACTCTATAACTCTCAAGATTTAATACTAAGTAATTCTCCTTACTGTCTGCTAGAAAATTCTTAGTGACGTGAGTTTGGAGAATTTAGCGTTACATCAACAAACAAGCCCCTAAGTGGTATCTTTCTTTGTTTCCATCACTTATCACTTATCTGTTTGATATTGTATTAACATTGTAAGGAGAAATACTGTCTTGGTCACTCCTGAGAGTCCAATACCCCATTCACACTTTAGCTTAAACAGGTTTAAAAGCTGTTTTTTTTTTAAACATGATTGAATATTTTTTCTTCATAGTAGCTGCTTGAAATGATGTTTGTCAGCTTCAGATGTACCACATTGAGCATACAAGTTAGCCACTACCTGAATCCTACAGAAAATTTGATTTTTCAGTTCTCTGTTTCTGATTTTCATTCAGTTAAATCTGGTTTAACCAAACATGTTTTGCTGGTGTGAATGGGTTACAAGGGTTAAGTATTACAAAAACAATGGACAACTGCCACAAGTCTCCTACCTCTTTGAGCTTGGGTACCTCCCCTTGTAGTGGACCAAGTAGATGTTGTGGCTGGCCTCCTTAACTGCACAACTGAACCTCTGCCCCTACTTAGATCTGAAAACAAACACAACACTTGATTGTTTACTTCATTCAACATAACACTGATTTTTGAATAACAAACAGTAATTGCTGATAGCAAGACTATACATCCAAATCTGATCTACAGTAACACTGGGCACAAGATCAAGTTTGCTCTCTAGGATGAGCAAGAGAGTTTTGGAACAACTAACTTGAATTTAACTTCAGCTCAAAATGAACCCTTGCAAAAAATGCAGACAACATGTGACAAAATGTTTAATTTTGCAGTTTGGCACTTTTAAGTGCAACATTTGTGCTACTTCTTAGACCCTTCATCTCATTTACATCAATCAAGAACAAACTATACCCCTTGTTGCTTCTTACTGTATTTACCTTACCTTGTCTAGCTTTAGCTGCAGATCCCCCTGTTGTTGAGGCAGACTGAGCACTAGTCCTAGAAGGTTCTCCTGCAATAAGAAAATTAAACTTGGGATGTAAATGAAAGCTGTGATGGGAAAGGGGGATCCAGTCCTCAGCAGAATTGTCCATAGAAAAAAACTGATTCAATTAAATCAAGTTTAATATATGTAATACTATGATTTCAAGTGCAATTTGGTGTTAATAAGCACTAGTAAAATTTTCAAAGACAACAGAGTTGCATGAGCCTGTAGGAGGAATTACGGTCAACTCGCCGACGGACCAACTCGCCGACGCCAACTCGCCGACGTATAAAGTCGAGTAGAGACGTCGGCGAGTTGGTCGTCAATCCAATACAACTTATTAGAAGTTAAACATACAGAAAATTAAACGATATTTAGTAAAAAAACACTGGTAAACATCTAACAGAAGCTTAAACATTGGTGAACATTGGTGAACATCACCAATGACTATAACAGCTTAAGACGCGAACGAGTTATTGTGCGACAACAACACCGTAAAGACTCATCATGTCAATCGCTCAGAATGTTTAACGAAGATTTGGCTTTCTAGACGAGATCTTTAGTAAAAAGCATTTCTTTTTATTTGTAACAAAGTTTATAAGGATCTCAAGGCGAATAAAGCGAAGTAAACATCACCAATGACTCACACAACTCATTGGCGTCTACAGCCAATTTTGTTCATTGGCGATGTTAACGTCGCTTTATTCGCCTTGAGATCCTTATAAACTTTGTTGCAAATAAAAAGAATTGCTTTTTACTAAAGATCTTTTCTAGAAAGCCAAGTTTTCGTTAAAAAATCTGAGCGATTAACATGATGAGTCTTTACGGTGTTGTTGTCACACAATAACTCGTTCGCGTCTGAAGCGGATGTAGTCATTGACGATGTTTACTTTACTTTATTCGCCTTAAGATCCTTATAAACTTTGTTGCAAATAAAAATAATTGCTTTTTACTAAAGATCTTATCTAGAAAGCCAAGTTTTCTTAAAAAATCTGACCGATTGTCATGATGAGTCTTTACAGTGTTGTTGTCACACAATAACTCGTTCGCGTTTGAAGCTGTTTGAGTCATTGGTGATGTTTACTTCCCTTTATTCGCCTTGAGATCCTTATAAACTTTGTTGCAAATAAAAAGAATTGCTTTTTACTAAAGATCTTGTCTAGAAAGCCAAGTTTTCGTTAAAAAATCTGAGCGATTGACATGATGAGTCTTTACGGTGTTGTTGTCGCACAATAACTCGTTCGCGTCTTAAGCTGTTATAGTCATTGCTGATGTTCACCAATGTTCACTGATGTTTAAGCTTCTGTTAGATGTTCACCAGTGTTTTTTTACTAAATATCGTTTACTTTTCTGTATGTTTAACTTCTAATAAGTTGTATTGGATTGACGACCAACTAGCCGACGTCTCTACTCTATTTTATACGTCGGCGAGTTGGCGTCGGCGAGTTGGTCCGTCGGCGAGTTGACTGGTTACCTGTAGGAGGAGTGCAATTTGTAGTCTTTGAAAAATTTACAAATGCTCATTTACAACAAATTGCAAGAGAAATAATGTTGTTACTTGTGAATAACTTACATGAAAAAAGCATCACAGGAAGTCATGATAAACAAAAATTTGATATTGGATGCATGCTATTTGTAATTTGCACTCATATTACAACTTTACACTTGTGAAAAATGCACTCATTTTCACCCAGTTGGATGTGCATAATTTTATCATGTGTATTAAAAATGATGAAACTAGCTAGACAAGTGGTATACCTAAGGTTAGCATGAGATTTAGTTTTACACTTAACATCAGGGTTCAGAAATGAATATTTAAAAAGTTTTGTGGAAAAATGGCTACCTAGCTGTTCCCAGTTCATTTTCTCAGAAAAATACATCATGCCTTAAGATCTAGCAATCTCTGCAGTCTGCACTAAAACAGTAGGAATGGCTTGAATGGCTTTATACTTAAGATCTAGCAATCTCTGCAGTCTGCACTAAAACAGTAAGAATGGCTTGATATTTATCTGACATTTTAATTGTCAAAAGGGTTTTTTTCTAGAATTGTATTTTGCTCCATCCCTTACCTGAAATACTTGGCTGGGAAATGTCTTCTGATGCAAATTCTTGTGATTCTTTCATTTCTAACTCACTAGTAAAAATAATAATACTTATCAGTAATCTACTGTTCCACTTTGGACATACAAAATAGTTTAAAGTATAAAGGCCAGGCCACTGAAGCCCTGTTTTCAAGTGGAGAGAGATACCCAAGAGTGACAATAGATTTGAAAAATCATCCGTAACTACTACATCCCTCAAGCTACCAACCTTCCTTTTTCTACTGCTTCTTGTTCTTCAGCTTCCTCTCCTTCTTTCAGTGCCTCCACATCTTCCAACAGCTCCACCACTTCTGTGTCAAGAACCTCAGGATGAGCTTGAGAAACAGGAACATTCTGCTCAGATGATTCCTCCGATGCCTCCGTAACAGGTGTGACCATGATGGCAGGGACAGTGGCAATACTGCCAGCTTCTGTCTCACTCTCCAAACTTTCTAATGAGAGCTGCCTTGTGTCTGAGCTAGTGCTTGGGATTCGTTGGTTGGACTGGCTGGCTGTACTTGCTTCCACTGCTTCTGGTAAGCCTGAAATATAAGCATGAGTGAACAAAACTATTCTTTTACTAAAATACACATTCAACTTATTCTCATTCACTAAACCTTCCTTCTTCCTTCTCTAACACCTTTGCTTCTCTTGATCTCTTGATTATTTACTGTTCCAGATCATATTTATAAATCTAACCACTAGCTTTAGCACATTTTTTAGTAAATTGATAATAGTGAATTTACTAACCCATGTAAGTAAAGACAACTACCTCTAACATATACAAATGTTTGTTTTCATCACCTGATTTCGGAATAAGGTTAAACAAGAGGTTAAATGTCAATCACTTCCAAGACTTTAAGGGTTCATGAAAAGTGAGAAGGCAAAATACCTAACAGCATTTATAAACTCAATGGTCAAAATGCTCTTACATGCATGTCCATGCATTCTTATCTAACTGTGATGGAAAGTGGGCAGAAGTTCAGACAAACATTTTGAATGTAAGATTGAGAAAGGAAAACAATAAAATGACCATGATAATGATGTCCTGGTAGGTAGAGCTCAGCTCTGCTGGAAATAATTATTTGTCAATGAATACTATAAGGGAGTACAACATGGAATTTTCATTTTATTCCAGCACCCATGATCAGAACTACCCTACTTACCATATTTACAACTGACTGATCTACCTGTGACATTAATTCTACCCCGTCTTCTTTTTGATTGATTTAGTAACAGAGCAACTTGTATCTTTCTTGCAAATCTATGTCTGACTATCTTCAAAACTGTTTCCTTCTTTTCCTTCCTGAGCATCTTAATGTCTTCCTGACAACTTGTGCAGCTTTTTTTCTCTCTTTTCCTCCTCACTGCCCTACCTGTAGGCACTACAAAGGAAGGTCTCTCATGAGAAGCTTCATCTGAGCCCCCCATAAGGTCCACTTGTGTGTCATCTACACGGAGCCCTTAAAGAAAAAAAGCAAAATTGGATTTGGAAAGACAATATTACAACTTACTTTCTGCAGAAAAAAAAAGAGACAAAAACAAAAAAATGAAAATGAAAATGAAAAAACTTGGCAGTCATTTATTGTATGAATCTGTAAAAAACATGTGAATTCAGAGGCTATATGCCCATTTGTGATTCTGTTTCATGCTGGTATCAGTCGGTTACACATTATCACAATGACCACCGTACACAGTTGAGTAGCAGCAGCAAATAAAACAGATTTCAATTCTCCTATTTCGTTCCATGATTTGCATGGCAGCATAAAAAACCTTTCCTTGTTGTTTTTAGGGCAATAACCAAACTTAGGTTTTAATGTAACATTGCTTTTTAATCTTGCTTTGTTCTTCAGTTACCCAAAAGAATGCAAACCACTCACCTTCTTCTGACATGCCAAGTTCCAAAACACCTACAGATGACATAGAGCTCTCTCCAGGTGCAGCAAATGAGAATGATGAACGATTTATTTGTGGAGAGCTAAAGACAAAAAAGGATTTTCTTCAGCTAAAGAAACAGTCACAAAATTTTACAAATCTCCTCTTAACTCATCAGACAAGAGTATTATTTGATGTTAGCACAGACAGATATTCCAGTACTGTAGCAGTTTTTCATTTTTACATCTCTAAGGAACCCCAAAGAAAAGGCTTTGTACTGCACAATCTCAAGACATTCCTGTTCTTTCCTTCAAAAAAAAAAATAATAAAAGGCCTCAAACAACTCCTTGCTACTGAACTAATCTGACTGAACATCTTGTTTAGGATTGCCAATACAAATTCATAGCAAGGAAAAATTTCAGTTCAAGTGTCAGTATGTTTGTCCAGGAATAGAGGTCCACAGTATAAAGGGCAGCATTGTTGCACACAGTTTTTCTGATTCTCAAAGTTGCTGGTGAACGAGTCGAAAGATTAATTGGTCATATATATTTGCAGATATGGTTACCAAGTGGAATGCAGGTTCTTTGCTTGGTATGACATTACAATACTAAGGGAAGAGGTGTTGCACAAAAACTACTCTGCTCTGACACAGAACTTACCTTATAGCCTCAGCAAAACCATCAGTTCTCTTTGGTACATACAGTGTAGGGGTGCTGGGCACCATACAGTCTTCTTCTTCGTTAAATGGACCTGGAGCTGGTTGGCCCTGAATAACAATAATTATGCAATTTAAGACACAGGTTTAATGGGGGCTTCATTCATTTGTTACCAAGAGAGTTAATTTACTACCATGCCTTCAGTCTACCAAAAATGTCAATGGCCACTCTTAATATTGCAACAATCTAACCAACTGCAAGCAAAGTTCAAAGGACACTCTTTTGCACTTCAGTGGTCTCTTCAGTTCTTAACTCAAGTTCAAGGGACGGAAATGGCATGAAAAAGTTGAAAAAGTTGATATGTAATGCCTCCTACACTGTGCTTCAAAAGTTTGAGAAAATCTTGTATCATCTAAAGATAATTTCATTTGCTTGTCTTCCATTTGCACGCAACTTAATCAATTTTGAGAAAGAGAAATCTGGTATGCACAGAGTTCTTTTAACAGACATTTACAAATGAACAGGTATAGCAATGGCACTAACTTTGTACTCACTTATAACCTTATGCAGCCAGCTACGGTTTTAATGATGCGCTCATTGTTTCTTGAGTAGTGTCAATCAATACTAGTGTAAGCTTCCAAGTGGGAAAAAAATTTCATGTCTCACCTGAGGAAATGAAAACGGTGGCAAATGGGACCTAGCAGACAGGAGACGTTGTGTAATTGTGACTGATGTTGTTGGTGTAACAGATCTCTGTGCGCCTTCCAATAACTGACTATCAACAGCAGCTCCTGTTGTAAGCTGCTCTGTTGTGGAAATCTCTCTTTCTACATTTGTGTCAGAAGTCTCAGCTTGTTCAATCTCATTCTGATCCTGTATTTCTTCAGCAACATCTTCTTCTGTTGAAAATGAAATCATCAGTAGTTAGGGAGATAAAACAGACAATTAAATAGAAACAGACAGACCAAACATCCACAGAATGGGACCATGTTAAGACACATTTTTTTCCCCATGGACCAAAAAACATGCAATAATGAAGTTGCCGAATTGGGGGTGCGTCTTATAGCCGAGTGCGCCTTATAACCGAATAACTACCATAACGGTAATTGTGAATAACCCAAAAAAACTAACCTCCTACTATCTCTCCAGCATCCTCTTCTCCCATCTGCCTTTCTTCAATTGCTGCTGCTTCCCGAACATTTTCATCCATGTCATCTTCATCATCATCGATCACTTCCACCACCTCTTGCTTTGGATCATCCTCTCCATTTTCGTCCATATCTTCATCATCTTCATCAACAACCTCTCCTTCCATGTACTCTGCTTCTTCATCTTCACCTTCATCATCTTCCTCCATCTCACCCACCTCTCCCTCAGCATAATCCTCGTCCTGCTCTACATAATCTTCATCATCCTCCTCCTCTTCTCCTTCATCAAGGTTCTCTTCCTCAACATCTTCATCTTCATCACTTTCAATCAAAACTACCTCTGGTTCTTGAATCACCTCTTGTCTTCCAGAATCTTGTGTCTCCTGGTCTTCTTCCTCCTCACCCTCTTCCCCATCATAACCATCAAAATCAAACTCTTCCTTTCCTTCTTCCTCTTCTTCAAGTTGATCATCACCTGTGCCATCTGCAGCTGTGTCTTCAAATGCTTCTTGTGATGTTCCAACTTCATCTTCCACTTGAAGCTTGAGTTTGAATGTATATCACAATTAATTTATAGTGGTCCACAGCTTTTTAAGGTTACAAGTTACCTTCAGGGCTCAAATTGTTGTATGTTGGTTTTTCATTATAGAACACAGATAATAGTATAACCAAACAAACAAAACTATTGAAAAAGAAGAATTACTTGCTGCTTTAAATTCTTTAAAATTCAGACAATCATTAAGGTGTTAGGTAACCTTAGGGAACTCTAATATATAATATGCAACCTAAGTTAATTCCCCTGATTGTGGTAACTTTTAAAGAACCTGCACTGCTACCAAAAATAGTTACCAATTAAAAATAGTTAATATCATTGGTAGCAATAGCAGTTTTTGTATGCTACAACACAACTGACAAGAAACTGCTAAATTTAGACTAAGTAGCAAAAAAAACTGTTAAAAGAATAAATAGGATTTCCTACAAAGTTTACCAAGGTAAGAAGAAGAGACATTGTCCAAGTACAAAGGTAGTCATAATTTTGACTGGAATGACTGATTGAATCTACAGCTGACAGCAAAAAACAAATGAGTTTTCAATCCTAAACAAACCTCTACAGTCCTGATTTTCTTCGGCAGAGGTTCATCTTCTGTACTTGTACCTTCCACGACTTCAGTTGCACTTCTGTTACATAGAAAATCACTCATTAAGTGTGGAAATCACCCACTCAGACAATTATTTACTCTTTACACCCTAAAATTGGTATGTAAAATTATTCTCCATACTGTTCTTTAAACATTCTCTAAGAAGCTTATTAGGAGAAATTGTTTGACAATCAAGAGCTAATTTAGTTTGCGATCATTTCCTTTATTCTCATGACCTTAATGTTTGATTCAGGGTTGATATTGTTAGGAGAAATTAGATGCTAGTATCTTAGGAGCCAAATGGTTAAGTTTCTTTACTTGGATAGTTCTCTCAACTAACTAATTATAAGTGTCTTACTCATTAAAAGAATTTAAAAAATTATAACAAATTAAATACTCTTTAAATGGGATTTCTCACTCAGGGTAATTTTGAAGATGTTCAAACAACATTGAGTATGTTGCAATTATACCTGTCAGTAACTTGAGATTCATCTCTCTGTCTCTTTCCTGATACCACAGCTGTAGATGGAGTAGGCTGCAGCTGTTCACTGGCTGTCACCTCAGTGGATGACACCTCAGACTCTCCTCTAAAGAGTTCAATTTCTCAGATTACAATTTGAATCAGCAATTGAAAAATGTTTGTAACTAATGTTACTAGAAGTTACAAATGCAAGGCTGACATTAGAACAGAGCAAGTAAAACACCACTAATCTTAACTACATAAATGTAAGAAAAAAAAAGATCTAAAATAACAAAACAACTAATTCTCAATAAATTCAGAAATCATTCCAGTACAAGTAGGGTGTTCGAGGCATTCACTTATTAACCCTTTACACCCTAACATCAGCATGCAAATGCTCTATACTGCTCTTCAAACATTTCCTATGGCACTGACACTCAGTTCTCATGAGCCTAGTGTTTGATTCAGCAATGATACCTTAGTGAGAAAATAGATGCTATATTTAGTCACCCTCAGAGTTCAAAGGGTCAAACAGCAGTATAAGCAAGCATTTATTCAATGCCCTCCTGTCTCCCTTGCTTCATTTAAAAACATTCTACAGGTACTATCACACCACTGTTTTCTAACTGAACACCACTTACTGAGAAGGCTGTTGCTGCTGCACTTCTACAGTACTGGTGATTGGACGAACGGACACTGTGGTTGGTACAGAGGTTGACACACTGCTTGCTGTAGAAATTGCCGTTCCTGTCACCCTTATGGTTCCAGCAACACTTACAGCCTCTGAGGGGGTGGAAGTGACTGTTGGTAAAACAGTTGCAGTGGGGGTGGGTGTGCTTTGTGTTGGTGCAACTGCTATAGGCCGCACACTAGCTTTAGGTCCAGAGCGTTTAATTGTTGTGGGGGTGGTGGTTGGTTTTATTGTTGCTGTTGGTGGCACTAGAGATATTGGTGGTGCTGATGTAACAGTGATACTTGACGGTGTTTCTGCTGTAAAAAAACAATGAAATAGAGTTTCACTATCAAGCTTTGAATCTTTAACAACTCTGCTGTCAATTCAATGTTAATACTTCTTCATGAGAAGGCATCAGGGTTGTCAGATTAAGAGTTGCAGGAATTAAGACACAAGAACCAATGCCAAAGAATGGCTCACTATTTCTTTCAACAAGGAGTTTATCTGATCAATTAAGAGCTGCAAGAATGTAATTATTATCAAGTGTGGGTCTCTGAAGCACTGAAAACGGATATAATTGCAATAATTTGTTAAACAATAAAGAGTTTCTTTTAATTTAGGGGTGATACTGTAGGAGAAATAAGATGCCAGTCACTCTTAGCTGTTAGACGGTGCAAAGACTACTCTAAATGATCCTTTCAGGCTGCTACTGACAAAGGCCTAACACTCAAAATGACAGCCTTTAAACTCTTTACGGTGGCTAATTAACATTTTTAACTCAGTTGATAACACTAAACTACCCTGTCATACTCTCCCAGTGACACAGCACTACAGTTTCTTTAGAAACTTACCCCCTTTAAGCCACTGAGTTGGTTCTGAATAAAGTACATGTGTGTTGATAAAATAGAAATTACCTTACGGAAACTGAACTAACCTTGAGTTGTTGTAGTCTCTGCTCCAGTAACTTCTCCTGAGGATGGTCTTGAAATGGAACTTGATGTATTGACTGCAAAAGACTTTATTTTCATCTGCTGTTTCTGTATCAGTGCTTGATATTGTTGCAGCTTCTGTTGAAGTTTTTCCACATCACTGTCGCAGTACAACCAAGAAAAGAATTGACATGTTAAAATATACTTTTCACTTCATTATTCACAGATTCAACAAATAATGGATCATTTTCTGTGTTCAAGCAGCAATTAAGCCCTTTTCAACTGCATTATCATCATTAACATTTTACAGGCCTGAGGGTAACAGAGTTAACCAACAACGATTTAGTCGTCAGTATATTAGTATCATGGAAAATACTTTGATATCACAGACTGTTACAATAGGGTTCTATGCTTAACTATATTCAAAGCAACCAAAAGGCAACCTAAAATTATGACATGATTGTCAGTAAGAAAATGCTGTCCACAAAAAAGGGAAAACCTTAAGGCAACATAATAGCAGAATTTAGAAAACTGCAACTTACACTTTTTCTTTCTGCCTGTACTCCTCTATTTGTTTCTTCATTTCTTCAACTGCCTTCTCCTTTGTGTCATTAGCTGTTTTATAATCTTGTAGCTCTTTCTCCAACCTTGTTACTTTCCCTTCACATTGTGAGTTCAAGACTTTCATTCTCATCTCAAATTCAGTCAATTGCTGGGTTACTGCCTCCTTCTCATCACTCAGTGACTTGTGTTTCTTCTTAAATTCTTCATTTTCTGCACTCAGTCTGTCCTTAGTAGCTGATGACAATCAGAAAGAAATTGCAAGATAACTATATGTGTTTCAACAACTCCTAAATACCCTTCTAGAAGCCACAGGAGAACATTTATATTGAGTTGCTGTTTCCAGTATGTTCTATACGCCTTCAAAGTACACTAATGTTTCTTTCTTGGTTGCCTGTTTATGTGGATCATTTCAGTTTACCAATCATGAAATATGCAGCTTAATAAATATCCAACACTACTCACCTCCACTTAAACTACTTATCAAAATGGCTTTAAATGGCTGCATCTGCTCAATTAAATGGCTGCATCTTTTTTTTTTTTATACAGAGGTTGGAAATAATCTTATTTAATCATTCTCCTTCTACATTAATTACTTCTTAATGAAAACCTTGACATCGCTTCAAACTCATTCCTTACCTGAAAGCTGCTGCAGCCTTTCTCTGGCTTGTATTAGCACTTTCCTGTTCTTATCCTCTTTCTCCTTCAGGGATGTCTACAGTAAGTATGGAAAACGAGGCAGCATTAGTCTCTTGTTGGTTTGGTTTTATCACGAACTTAACTGTTCAATGTAGTCTTATCCAAACTGCTGTGCTCTACGGACTTCATTCATTAACCTCAAACTGCCTTAAGTGACCAAAATAACATTTCCTCTTTTCAACATCAATAAAAAATTGAATAGACTAGCAATGGGAATAAAGAAAAATATCAATAAGGGACTACAGGTTGATCCAATACCAAATTCTCCATAATAACATCATAAGAATTGTACTGCAGATAGTAAAGAGAATTATTTATGAGATCTTGGGAGTAAATGGATGCTACAATAATTCTTATTTACATTGTGTTGTTAAATTGTGCTGAGATGAAAGGCCATTTGAAAATTTTGCAATCGTGATTCAAATCTTCACACATCTCTTTTACCATTTTGAAGTAGTGAGTCAAAACTAATATTCTCCACACTGTTCTCTCTATACTTTCTAGGGTAAAAATGAGGAGAATCTGTTTGACAATCAGGAGCTTCCTGAATTGATGATCACTCCCATTACTCTCATGACCTTTAAAATTGATTCAAGAGTGATGATGTAGAGAGAAATTAGATTCCAGTCACTTTCAAGAGTTTACTAACCTTATTCTGCTCATCCAACTCTTTCAGTTTTTTGACCTCATCCATTGCAGTCTTCAACTGTTCTGTTAACTCTTTCACCTTGTTCTCTTCTGATGCCAGATCAGCAGTACCACTAGATGCATCACCTGGTGATACTCCTTCTGCTGTGGCCTGCCCAGAGTCTTCAAATTTCTTTTTCAGTTCCTCCATTTCCTTAGTTTGTTCCTCATGTTGAGTCTTGTAATGACGAGCTATCTTTTTAAGTTTTTTTACTTCCTCATCAAAGTTCTTTACCTGTTCTGTTAGCTCTTTGATCTTGTTCTCCTGTGCAGCAACATCAACATTTTCTGCAGCTGTCACCCCAGAAGATGCAGCTTCTGCTGTTCCGTTAGCTGTGGACTGCCCAGCCTCATTGGTCTTTTTCTTGAGCTCTTCCATCTCCTTTGTTTGCTCATCAACTTGGGTCTTGTAACGACGAGCTATTCGTTTCACCTTTAGCAACCAAACATAATCCATCAGGATAAAAAATTTTCAGATACAAATGTCCTGTCACCTCTCACATATTTTGATTGCATCAATCCTTTATACCATTTGCTAATAGGCTGATCAATTCAAAGCTTCAACATCCCCCTCCTCATGGAGTCCACAAGCATTAGACTGTCATCCATGCCCTGGAGGTGAGGCATTTGAAACTTGCCTAGGTGGGGTGGGGAATTTGAAGGGCTTAAAAAAACAATTTCAAATTCAAGGATACTGAGATACTGCCATCCAATGCTCTACCATGGAACTACAAAAGGTTTCCATGGTGCTCTAGCCCATAATCTAAGCTCACAAGTGATCAAATGTGTTTGGGCAAATTCTAACCTGCAGCAGGGTTGCGTTCTTTTCGTTGACTTCTTTTGTCTTGGCTTCTACAGATGCCTTTAGTGATTCTACTTCCTGCTGCATTTTAGATAGTTCTTTCTGATGTTCTTCTTTCAAACTTCCCAGCTGATCAGTTGATTTTTGTGACATTGCCTGAAATAGTATTTCTAACAATAAGCATTGCACATATGTGAAGATAACACATTCAGATTAATGTGAACTTATCTCCTGACCAAAACATATGGGACAATCCCTTCTCACCTTTCCAACTATTCCTTTTTTTTCTGATCAACATGAAACTTCTCCCTATAATATCCTTACATAATCCAGCAAACAGCTAATGAGGATATTCAAACTTATCAGGTAGAAGGTTTCCTCTTGATCTAACACCAAATTCTTATAACTAATTTTAAAAATATGTGTAGCAGCTAGAGGGGAGAATTACCAATCAGATCTTGGGAGTTAAAGGGTTAAACAAAAGAAAACTGAGGTGAAATTATTCTTCATTAGATCCAGAGTTAAGTTTGTGATTTACTTCTGTTGTCTTGTTTACCCAAAAAATTATTTGAACTAATCTAGTAAGGATTGTGAATTTTGAAATACTTGACTACATCTCCTGTTTCCCTTTACAATTCTTTCATGCTCTAGCCACATCTAGTGCCTTTCACAACAGAATGGAGCAAAGTCAAGGCTTCCCTATTTGTTAACTATATGTCATGGCTACAGAATCAATATGTTTTGGTCTGAACAGGGCACAACAATCCAATTGCTTTTAAATTAAGACATAAGCTCTTAACCCTTTAACTCAATGATCTACTTGGTAATTCTACCCTCTAGCTTATACACATTTTGTTGTAAATCAGTTAAGAGAATTAGGGGTTACATCAAGATAACAACTCCTATGCTATAAGTTTGAGTATTCTCATTATCTGCTTCCTGGATATTGTATGGATATCGTAGGAAGAAGTTACATGCTGATCAATTCTGTGAGTTAAAGAGTTAAACTAGAAACTGATTGATTGTTAATTCTCCCCTCCAGCCGATACACATTTCCTTGTAAATTAGTTACAAGAATTTGGTGTTACATCAAGATGACAACTTCTACCCAAAAAGTTGGAGTATTCTCATCACCTGTTTCCTGGATAACGTATGAATATAATAGGGAGAAGTTACATGCTAATCACTTTTGGGAGTTTGAGGATTTAAACCATAAATGATCCTATGATACCAAAAGATATCATACTTGGCACTGATAGTACAGAAAGTGGAACTTTACCCTTAATCCTGCTAACTCTCCTTGTGTTTTTGACAAGTCAGATTTCAAGGATTCTGTCTGAGTTCTTATTCTTTGATTATCAGCTTTCAGGCTGGATATCTGTTGCTGAAACTGTTTCTTTTCCTCTTTAATTCTCTTATACTCATCAACATCAACATCCTTGTACTGTTCTGTCAACTGTTTGATCTTTGCTGTCCAGCGCACAATCTGTTAAACAAAGTGTTGATGTTTGATTTGCCCCATTTTTCATATAACAATCAGAAGATTCTTTTCAGAAAAAATCTTTTTTTTAGTCTAAAACCTTTACTTATTCCTACTACATGCAACAATTTTGCTTTTGCCAATTAGGCCATTTAAATTTTTTTTTCAACAATTATTTCAAGAACTCCTTCCAAGTATTCAAGGCACCGTTGTATGACTTATTTTATTAGTTAATAGATAATATGTACTTATTGACTGAGTGGGAGGGCCAGATGGGAAAATATTTGCTTTGAGGAAATGATGAGTAGATTGAGTGCAGCATTGTCCATGCATCAGGACTAAGTTCCAGATATCTTCCTGTCTGGAGTGATATAACTTATTCAATAAGCCATTTGTCATCCAACCTTTGGTGTTTCTTTTCCTTCCTTGTTTCCTTCAGCTCACAGCTCGCAGGACTGTACAGGTTTGTACTGCCCTGCTTACAGCAGTGCAAAGGCCCTTACACAGGGATTTTTGTCTAATGTTTTTCAATAAAAGCCTGTCCAGGGCCTTATGGATTGTGGTGTGATAAAATTGTGTACGATACTCACACAAGAAAACATCTGAAGGAAAAGATGTTTGTTCACTGCAGTAAAAATCATTAAGTAAATACTTCAACAATTTTCTCAAGATTTAGAGTCACCACAATCAACAGAAGAGTCAAGCTATCAACTGAGAATTGCAAGCTCTCCATGGCTGTAATGCCTGGCATCTCTCTCCCTTTTGTTGATTATGATGAGCTAGACTTGCCTCATTTTTAAGAGCTGTTTTCTCGGCCAACAAAGCATCTTTCTGTGATGTAAGTGACTGCACACCATCCTTCAGAGGTTTCATCTCCCCCTCTAGTCCCTTGATCTGGGCAAAAACCATAATAACATCAGGATCAGTTTAACAAATGGACCAAAATTTTCCATTGTCCATAACCTCAATGATCATTATAGAAATAACTTCAACAATGTTCAAAACTTATTAAGTGAAACCACAAGGCGCAACCAAGTGGTTTCACTGCAAAGTGAATTAAAATAAAACAAACCTTTTCTGCAAGCTCTTTTACTGTCTTTTCAGCTCTCTCTTTTTCATTTGTCAGTACTTTATTGCTCTCAATAACTTCATTCAGTCGCTCCACTTTCTCCATGATCTCTGCATGCTGAGCTGCAGTCTGAGTGTTGATCTCTGACTGTGTTCTTTCCTCAGTCATGTTCTTCTGCAGATCTGCCACTTGTGCCTCTAAGTATTCACAGCGTTGCTGGTAGCGAATACTTTCAGACTGAGATAGTTCACACTTGGTCTCAGAGATCTCCTTTTCCCGACGAACAAATCTTTAAACCAACAAAAAGTAGTTATTCAGTATTACCAACTGAGTTGATAACACAAATTGGCCACTGTTAAGAGTTTAAAGCTGACATTTTGAGCATTAGCTCTTCGTCAGAGCGATTGGAGGAATTGTAGGTTGTGTATGCAGAAAATGGAGCTACCCTATAGGTGGGAATATGATGATGAGAAAAGAAGATAAATAACTTGAATGAAAGTAGTGATTAGTCACATTAAGCAAACCCAAAACTAACAGGGTGTTCTTTTGAAAATCTCCACAACATACAACAAGGGTTTTTTCAGTCTGAACCCTCCTACCCTACCCCTAACCTAACCCAACAACAGTCAATTGATAAAAATTTAGGGTTAATGTTAGATTAGGGGAGGGGTGGGTTCGCAGTAAGCTTCATATTTTTCTCTACAGAAACTGACCTTTGAAAAGCCATGAAAAAAAATTTAAAACACTTTTCTTCAATACCTACACGTATAGATGACAAATCAGTTATAAAAAAGAGTAATAGTATACAAACCTGATGATTTCCCAGAGTTCTTCAATACTTTTGTTAGCCTCTTCCCCTCCTTCTAGTGCCACACCCTCTTGGAGTGTCACAGGGATGTTCAACGCCATCTGTTTACTACCAGCAAGTTGGGAACTGAGCTAAAGGATGGATTGAGAATCAATTTAAAATATAGTTAATAAGCAAAAAATATATATATGTAGAATGCCAGTGTTTCTGTCTCTTTATCATCTTTTTGATATTGATAATCTTGGGTTACCTGATACAAAATTGGTCAGCTGCTATAATGCAATCTGAACATGAGTTAGTGGAAAAATAGAATCAATACAAACCTTTTCTAGTTGGCCATGAAGCATAGAGTTCTGATTCACAAGGTCAGCACAGCGAGCCTCTAGTTTTTTGGCTTCTGAAGCTTTTGCCTTTTTCTGATCCTCCCAAGACTTGGCATATTCCTCTAATTTCTGCTCTGCTGCAAGGGCACGGTCCTCTACTTCTTTAAATTTACTACTCTGTTCTTGAAGCTGGAGAAAAAAATAATTAAAAAAGTTACTCACAATATCACCAGAGTGAAAGCAGTTGATAATTTATGCCGTCTCTTTCCTAAAAGGTGCAAAGATGCATAGTTTATTTGAGCAATAATACAAGACTCTTGTCCAACCAGTTGAACACAGTTGTATTTGTAAATAGGTGTTAAAAAGCAAATGTTAACAGGACCTTCAAGATGCAAGCATGATAATGATAGTTTTCTTGCAGCTCAACATTATGACATTAATGACTGACTTTAATTTACAGTACCTGTTCTTTAGCTGTGGACAAAGCTTGAACATCATTAGCATGGAGGACAAGTTCTCTCTCATACTTATCTTGAGCCTACAGAAGTAATAAAAAAGTGTATTAAATACTATTTTGGTTCTGAGCAATTGCATATTCCTTGCAAGCATTGTAGGCTTAGTACAAATTAAAGGGGTTTAACCCTTTTACTCCAAAGATCTCATTTTGTTTAGTACTTCTTGTTACTGTCTGCCATACAATTCTAACAATTTGTTGGTTTGGAGAATTCGGTGTTGGATCAACTAATGAACCCCTGATTGATATTTATCTTTATTCTCATTGCTTGTCTGCTTGATACTGTATTGATATTGTAAGGAGAAATTCTGTCTTCTCACTCACTGGAGTTAAGCAGTTAAGGTGGCTATCAACTCAAACATAAAAGTTTCATATTGGTAACTGTACTGAAGACTCTAGTCTTGTCTTTTTTTAAAGTTGTCATTTGGGCATCTCAAATTATACAGTGGTTATCAGACATTTTAGCTAACAGAAAAAAATTCAAAGAAAACCACAAGTGTACATTTGTGTTATTCTCCCCCTCCCCCTCCCCCCCTCTAAAAAAAAATTATTTCAAAGTATTTCAGATAATTCAACTTGTATTGCATGTGAATGCTGCTACATGTAAGACATTTGGGTAAGGATAAATGTTTGAGTAATCTGACTTAATGTGTGACTGTGGAGAACCAAAAATTGAGAAATCATTAAAAATTAATTTCTGTTTAACATTACCTCTGCAGCCAACATAGCCTGTTCCTTCAGTTCCTCTTTGGCCGTCATCTCAGCAGCAGTAGATGTCTGCGCCTTCTTTAAAGCTTCATCCAGCTCCCCCCTAACCTTACTCAACACGTCTCGTAAACTCTTGGTTTGTGACTCTGTTTCTCTGGTTAATTTGGCTCTTGCTGCACTGAGATCTTGGTTTGAGGCTTGAAGAGTGGCCATCTGAGATTTGTACTGGGCAATTTCTTGCTCTGCTGTCTTGAGTTTACCCTCAGTAGATCGTTTAAATTCATCACTTGCCTAAAAATTTGAAGAAAAGCTTTGCTATTTAGCCTGGATTCCATGTGATTACTACTAACAGTATAATTCTCCAGATTCACTTCCAAGATCTCCTTAGTATATCTCCTTACTGTCTGCCAAACAGTTGTTATGATGTTAGTTCTGAGAATTTGGTATTTGATTACCAATAATCCCCTTGTTGATTTTTTTTTTATTCTTGTCACTTGTCTGCTTAATAATATTGATTTGTAAGGATAAATTCTGTCTAGGTCACTCATGGGAGTTAAAGGGCTTAAATGGGGTCTGAATTACCAAGTCAACTGTGGCTCTAAATTGCAGTGTATCTCTACAATTAAATGTTTACAAAGAACTGAGACAGCTGATGGCAGACTGAATTCAGTCTGAATTCTGAAGTCTGAAGTCTGAAGTCTTAACCCTTTCACTCCCATAAGTGACCACGACAAAATTTCTCCTCACAATATCAATACAGTATCAAGCAGGTAGGTGATGAGAATAAAGAAGAATATAAATTATGGTATTATTAGTTGATCCAATACCAATTCTCTGAACTAATATCATAAGAATTGTATGGCAGATAGTAAGGAGAATTACTAATTAGATCTTGGGAGTGAAAGGGTTAAGACTTAAAAACAATAGTTCTGTATTCCACACTAACTTACCTTGTTCAAGTCACCAAGGGCTGATTCATTGGCTTCTGACATGGATCTAAATTGTTCAACATGTTTTTTGGCTTGGTCCAATTGTTCCTCAAGGCCTGTACAAACCAACAGACAAGTTCACCACAGTATTACTAAACTCAGCATATAAAACAAAGTATATAAGTTCACAGAAGAAAAGAGGTATGAGAATTTCCCCGTCAGACACCTACTTGTCCCTGCTCATTTGCCAATTGGAAGCCGAGATGCATTTCAGACAGGTTTCAAAGTTTCAGATGTCTTTGCTGTGAATTGAAGAATGATTCCAAAGAGAACATTGTCAGAGCTCACCTTTGATTTTTACCTCTGCAGTGCTTAATTTCAACTCAAATTCCTGAATCTTGATGGTGTACTGTTCTTCAACTTCTTTTCTGATCCTCTCTTCATCAGCTAAGAGAAGTTAAGTAACATCATAACACATCTGATTACGTTAATTGAGGAATTTGGATCATAAAAATATACTTTCCAATGACTATTTTAAAAACAAATTAAACTGGAAACAAGTATGCTGTTCTAAATTAGACAAAATCACTGAAAACTTTGAAATACATAATTCAAAATCTTGGAGTGTGAAACACCTTTTATTAGACAAAAAAAAGGCATTTATTTCCATATTTCATGATTCAAGAACAGAAAAAATAGCTTGAAGTGCATTCATGGCAGACATTTTCCACAGATATGGCTCAGAATTGTCCATGAGAAGTCACCAAAAGTGTTTACATTTAGTTGGTTCTGTCCACAACAAAAAGGCTCCAGTCACCACACAGGTGGTGAATTGTAAGCTTCCAACACTTTTAATAAGGCATCTACATACATTTGGCCAAAAAAGAGACTGAAATGAAACACTCACCTTCTTGGAGAGAACTCGTATCTTTTCCTAAAATGTCAGCTATTCGTCTTTCAGCAGCTTGCAGTTGGGCTTCAGCTTGAGTACACTGTGTGAAAAAAAACAAAATGATTGACATATTTGGGTTGTCAAAAGGAAAATTTATAGCATTAGTGAAACATCCTGTTTGTTGTATGTGTTTAGGTCACCTTATTATATTCCTATGAGCCACAACAGTTGCTTAAAGCGGAAACCTTCACAAGCTTCTGGCCACAAATAATATCAACATCCATTCCAACTTTAAGTTTTTGTAAGGCTTCAAAAGCCTTCAAGTCTCTATGTTTGTTCAAGTAATACATTTGACTGTATACCAGCAAATCAAGCTTATAGCCACTGATCAGATCCTAATTTTAAGAGCTGCAGTACAAACATTTCTTTGCCTGCAAGAGGGTTTGAGCAAAGCAAGCCAGCCTGAGGTCTACACTTAGTCTAACAGACACGTCACAGATCTCTTGCCCACTGGCTTTGTCCAACGCCTCAAACTTTCTCACTGGTGAAGAAAAGCTGGTGCCACAGCCCTTATTAATGGTGAGGGCTTCCTCCCAGGCTGGTCATACTTTAGTCCTTGTTACACTGGGTTTCACTGCACTGAACTTTAAAAAGTCAACAACACTTACTCTGAGCTGCACTGAGTCAACATCCCTGGTTGAAGTTAGCAGCTGTTCCCTTGCTTGCTGGTGAGTTTTTATCTCTGCATTCAGTTGTGATTGTAGTTCTTGAACACGGTTCTGTTTTTTTAAATAAATTTTTTTTCCCATTTTCTGCATAAGTAATGTATCTCATAGAAGACAATATTTATTTCAACTTTCCAAACTCTACATTTTACATTGGCCTGGGTTAACAAAAGCAGAACTCATCAAGTATCCTCAATTATTAAAGCTGGATTGACAAGTTAAAGTTACTGTCAGTTAACAGAATCTGGTAAAAACTTTTTTTTTGCTCTTTAGTGAGAGAAAGCAATTAACTTTAATTTGCCAGAAAAATTGTAAAATCCTAATAAGAATGCAAGATACAGATGAAAGAATGTTTTAGAGAACCTGTACAAAGAGTAAAAGGTGTCAAAATCTTAAAGGCCTCCAGCAAAGTGATGACCTTTTCTGCCAACTTTTGTGCAGGATCTGTATATTTTGTTTACATTGCACAACAAAGAGAATTGTTGGCACATTTTGCACAACATTGACAAATAAGAGTCCAAAATGAGAAAAGTTGTCAGAGAGTAAATAAGAAAGTACAAAAACAATAGCAATAGCCATTTCTCACCTGCCAGGTATCAATGACACTTTTGTGATGCTTGTCTTCAGATTCCAGCTTCCTCTTCAGTAGATTTACTTCACGCTGTAAGGTCTCAACTTGAGAACCGAGTCTTGTTCTTGCCTCAAACTCAGACCTCTCTAAGTTATTCTATAATGAAGAGTATACAGGTGAAATCATTGGGTGGGGAGTTCCAAATGATTTGACATACTCATGGTAATGTGGTATCATCAACTGAGTGATAACATAAATTGGCCACCATAAAGAGTTTTAAACCTGAAGGTTTGAGCATTAGCCCCTCATCAGAGTAGATGACTCATTTGATTAAACCACATTTACCCTGTTATACTCCCCCACCCATGAAGCACCAATTGAAAGTTTCTTTAGAAAGTAACCCCCTTTGACATATATATATACTCATGGTCAACTTTAACAGAACCTGACATGATGAAATAGATTCATGGCAGCTATAATGTAAGAAACTTACTAGATATGACGGTTGCATCAACTTGTGTTTTGAGTGATTTATTTACATTTCTGACTAACCTGAAGAGTCTGTAGATTTGTGACCAGAACATTTTGTGATTTCTGATGTTCCAACAAGCTTTTGTTTTCCTGCATTAGACGAACTTCTGACTCCTTCATCATGGCTTTCTCTGCTTTCAAATTTTCACAAGTGACCTGAAATTTAATGAGAAAACAGAATGCTCCATAAGGATCAGTAACCACCAGTTTTGGAAAATAATACTGTCACCTTTTACTACAAAGTATGGTACTGGTTTTAATTAACCACTAAAAGAAATGAATCATCTTTGCTCTATCATTTCATCATTATAAATTGTGGGATGCATTTAAGTTAAAGAATAATCAACATGCAGCAAGTTGTAAGTGACTCCAGCCTACTTCAGTAAGTTGCACTAACTTTTCACCTACAATAAGAAGACATAATCCATGGTTTAAGCTGTAAATGGGTGATGTTTTGTTGAGGTTTCCTACAGCTCTATGTATCTTATTCTCATAACTAGCAAATGACAATGTAAACAGGTCATAAAATTGTGACCTTTCACATTTGTGTGTAACTTTTCTAGAAAATAGGGCAAACACATACCTTTTTTACATGCTACATATAAGTAAAACAGGTAAGAAACAGGCTAATGAACTTTTCAAAGAGCTCATTCTGATCAACCAAATGGATCACTACACAGCTCATTAAAAATTGGGACAGTTCTGTGTACATTTTAGCCTAGAGTGTTAAAAATTGTTCTCTCACAACAAAATTACAACTAAGTAAAGAAACCCACCTCAAGTTTATTTAACTTTTCTTTAGTGTTTGTCAGTTCCTATTTAAAAAAGAAACAATACAAGAACAATGATGTCTAAGACACAAACTATTTCATGTACTCATCTAGAGTATGCATAGAAAAGTTTGAATAGCTTTTAAGGGAAGAGGCGCTTTCGTGCCTTTTTTATTCCCAACTCTTTATTTCCACTGTTGACATATACTGTTTGGTAAGTATTTTTTAATGAGTAATCTTCCACTTGCCCAGCTTTCCAGAACAATTTCTTTAAAAACATTCAAAGATATGACATACTGACACAACATGTTGCTAGATGCAGACTGAGGTGAAAATTCCTTGATCAAACTAACTAATAAACTGACCAGCCAAGTCTACCTTTATTTCAAGGCTTTTTCCTTCATTTTAACTTAAAAGTAAATTCAGCTAATATGCTTTTTTTTTTAAACAAAATGAAAAAGGATCTGAAATAAAAATGGACCAATGGGGCTGTAATTAGTTCATAAACTAGTGACAGTAGCTGCAATAACTACAATTGGTTTATAAGCTATATAAATCTGTCTGAATTTTTCTTGAAAGTTGACTATTAAAAAAGGACTTTTTAACTGATCTCAATCTTTGGTTACTCCTCTTAAACCTGGTATATTAACACACCTGTGATACACTGTCAAGAGTGGCTTGCAACTTGCTGAGTGCTGTCTGCAAGCTATGAGACTTCTCAGATGCAGCTGATGCTTCTTTCTTGAAAGCCTCAGAGTTTGACTTTAGCATTCCATAACGTTCCTCAGCAAACTCCAGCTGTGGCAAGAGAATGTAAAATTGTTAAGCTGGATTCATGAAATCATTGAATAAATGATAAAAATACCACACTACCTTCTTTCTTACCTCCTGGGTTGGTATAGACAAAATTTTCAGCTGTGACTTGAAGTTTTTTTTTTTGTATTATTATCATGAGAATTAACTGAAAGTGTAAACATTTGAAGACAAAGCCATGTAAAAAGTTCATATTTCCTGAAAATATTGATGGAATACTTGTAACCAAGGGATACTTTCCTTCCAAAAAAGGTTGGCTAGAGATTAACAAAAAAATACATGAAATTTGTTCCCTGATCAACAGCAGTTTTTCTGAAACCTGTTAAACTCACAAGAAGGAAAGAAATTTATAAAACTCACCTGAGACTTCAATCTGGCATTACTTCCATTTAACTCAAGATTCTCAGCTTGCAATTTATCTCGCAGCTCATTCGATTTCCTTTAAAAAAAAAAAAAAGGAACACGTAAGACATTTCAGGAAAAAAATTTACACTTTGGAAAGAAAGTCTGAACTAGCTCTCTTCTTTCATGTTAAATTATAAGGAATGAAATGATCATCAGAGGTTAGCTGTCAAAGTGAGAATATTTTTCAGGCTTCCTTCTGTATTTTCTTTGACTGCAGCTCATTTGAAAGGATCACCTCATTACCTAATCAGATTCTATTACATGAACAAAGAACCACTGGAAATTTCTATGCTCAAAATACACAGCCCAGATGGAAGTGGAGCCCAACTAATATCTGTGATGCACATGCCATACAGGTTGGAATCCTATCAAAATCTGAATTTTTCCAGGATTTATTCCCAAAAATATTTAAACAATGCAGCTCACCAACAACAATAATTTCCATATTAGTAAACATTTGATTGATGAATCAAAAAAAAAGGAAAATATATCATAAATTTACAAGGACATCTTGTTTCAATGTAGTTAATGTATTTATAAACATTCAACCTTTTAAAATATCAAGAAGGAAAAATATCAATTAGGGGATTATTTATTGATCAAATACCCAATTCTCCAAACTAGCATCATAAGAATTGTATGGCAGACAGTATGAGAAATTATTACTTGAGGAGATCTTGTAAATAGCCTCACATGCTTTCTGAGCTTGCTCAGGAATAACACAGGGAAATGAGGACTACATGACATACACTGTATTAAAGGTGCCCAATTCATCTGTTATAATTATAATAGCAGTCATTATTATATATAGTTTTGACCAGACATTACATACAGCAGGACTGTAACTGTTTGAAAGGCATGGTTAAAAACTTACTCCTCAGCTTGCGTTCTCTCACTTTTGTAAGTTTCAAAGTGTCTCTGTAGTTCTTTTAAAGCTACTTTAGTTTCCTCTAGTTCTGCACTTGATTTATCAGGGGTCTTGAGTAATGGAGAAGATACCAAAACAGATGGGTCAAGGTCTCCTGTAGGGATCTGAAATTCAGGAATAACATGGATTGCAAACTGATGGGAATTCAAAATTCAGGATACCAAATCTCGATGGAACTATTCAAAGAAAGCTATACCTTAAGAAGGAAGTCGGTTATGAGGATTCGAGTCAGTATTCCAATGCGGAACTTTTTAGGGGGTTAGGTAACAGTATTTAAGGAAATTAATTAATAATATGTAACCTGTTGACAGTCATGTTCATGTCTGTGTTCCTTATTTCAACAAGAAAAAAATTGGAAAACAGTCAAAGAGGATTAAAAATAGTTGCTCCTTACTGGAGTTTGTCCACTATTGGCTAACAGAACACGGTACATGTCACGTTGCCTGATCACAGCCTCAACCTGTTAAGGAGAACAAACCACAAAATTAGATTGATGAGGAAACTGCGTGGTAATAGTGCTGACGATAGAGTTGGGAGATGGTGCATCAGCTTCTTGATATACAGTAGTAAATGTCATTAATACAAACCATATTCATTTGCCTCTCTCTTGATTCCTTAAGAACTTCAACTTCCTTCAATGACATGTCCAATTGATTCTGTAACCCCTTCATACTGGTTAAAAGAGATTTAAATTTAGCACTTTATACAAAAACAATGCATTGTATATGACAAAATCAGAATCAAAACAGAGCAATACAAGAAGAGAAATATCCTTTAAAAAATTTACATGTCATGCAACTCACATGTCCTCTCCTTCCTTCTTTTCTTTCTCTTCACTTAATTCCCTGATGACTCCCAGAAGTTTCTGATTTTGCTGTTGAAGTTCCTCAATACTCCTGTCAGTGATTAAATGACGATATTAGAAGAAGGGAATAATGGCAACATATATATGTGCTGACCCTTTACATCCTAATATCAGTATCCATATTCTCAATACTCTTTTCTACCCACTTCCTTTAGTACTGACAAGGAGAATTTGCTAAACAATCAAAGCTCCATGGTTGGTGATTTTTTTTTTTATTCTCATGATCTTAATGAGTTATTCAGCAGTTTTACCGTAAGGAGAAATTAAATGCTGGTCACTCATAGGGTTTAAGGGGTTAAACATTTACAATACTGCCACTGATGTTGGTGAAAGAGCCACTATCAGATACTACTGTACTTGGCACTGTGCAATTTTTATTTGTCAGTTTGTTTGGATGTGGGCACCACAACATTATCAAGGAACTGGATATATCACCTGATCACAATCCTACAATTGTTTTACAATCTGGAGAATTCTATCTCATGAAATTTGACAAGAACTATTGTGAGGATTTATAAATTCAAAATATTGTTGAGACTTTAGCTTGTTTACCTGAAAGTAACAAGGTGTTCAGAGATGACTTGTGATGAGCTGGTGACCTCAGCGCTTGACATGGGAGGCAAACTCAAATCAGAGCTGACCACCCCTCCTCTTGCCTCCTCACATTCTTTCAATAAGACCTGTACCTGAAGGCAAAAGTACCACCACAGAAGTGAATCCTTTATTTGTGAATTCCTGTTATTCCCATCCAACAACACTAATCTTTACATTGTCTTTTGCTTGAATATCAAGTGATTTTTGACCTTTCAGTTGGAGAAGACAACATCCTACGCACAGGTTGGTATTTACAATCAACAAAGATATGGATCCAAACTCATGATAAAGCAATTTTGGGAAGCAAAAAGGAGAATGGGTATTGATAAGCTATACTTTTGTTGGTAAGAGCACATCAGGTTGTTTAGAAGAAGATACATAAACAGTGACTACAGTGACAGAAGATACACAAACAGTGACTTGGCCTCAACATTCATCAATTTTGCTACAGAGGGGATTCCTACTGAAGCAGGAGTACTTATCAGACAAAGGGCTTTTGCAGTTAGGGCACCTGTTAAGAAAGGACATTCAAAGTGGATAGGGCTTACTATAAAGGGGTTACTTGTTGATAGGAGGGTGCTTGATCATTAAGAGGTTCTTATATTGAAAGCTTCTGATTCCCACAAACCTGTTGACTTAGGTCAGCAGAAAGATTCCTCAATCTGTCATTCTCTCTTTTCAGATGTTCACTCTTTTTGGTAGCCTCGTCAGCAATTACTTTAGACTCTTCATTTTCCTTCATAAAAATAGTGACATAGATGTTAAAGGAAACAGCTCAAGCCAAAAAGACACACAAACTGTTGCAAAATTCATCAGCTTAGTTTTTCATTGATTTATAACCTGAGAGAGAGGTGTGAAGGGAATTATTCTCTTTGGAGGTTTACAGGGGGGGGGCGGGGCCTTATCAGAGACATGGTATCTATTTGGGAGGGGCACTCTGTTTTTCAAAAATGGGTTTCTTCTAGCTAAAACAGACAGCAGGGCCAACACTGCATTAGTCATCTGAACAATTATAAATAGTACTTCTCGAAGTAGTACTTTTACATGGAAATAACATTTGAGAAACAAAAAGAAAAGCACCAGGCTTATAATGGGAAACAATGTGATGTGAGCATTCCTAAGGAAGATAATAAACAGTGACTTGGCCTAAACATTCATCAATTTTGCTACAGAGGGGATTCCTACTGAAGCAGGAGTACTTATCAGACTAGGGGCTTTTGCAGTAGGGGAACCTGTTGAGAAAGGACATTCAAAGGGAAAAAGGGCTTAATATAAAGGGGTTACTTGTCGATAGGAGAGTGCTTGGTCATTAATCATCACTTTACTTACATTGTTATTGTTCATTTACAAGTAAGTTCACAGATTAAAATGTAATACAGATATATAAAAATCTGCTCACCACAAGAGCTGAATCCAGTCTCCTTGACAGTTGATCCACACTGTTTAATGCCTGCTCATAATCTCTTCTCTGTTGTTGAAGCACTGGTGCCTTCTCCTCAATTTCCTACAGTATCAATTATCAAAATGTTTCTTCTTGTACTCAATCAAATTATAATGAATGTAATGCACAACAGTGAAAGCAAAGAGGAAAGAAGAGACATAAAAAAGCAAGAAAACAAGAAAAAATCCTTGAAGTGACATGCAATATAACAGATGATACTTCACTTTAGGACTGCAGTATAAGGAAAATGGAAAACTCATGACAAAGGGAATGTTTTCATGCCATTAACTAAATCACTGATCTGTACCAGATTTACCTTCAGTATCTGATCCAGGTACTGTTTTAGTCTGATATTCTCATCTTTTTCTTGCTGCAATGCATCAGAGACTTCCACATATTGACTATAAATCTGCAAAATACAAATTAAGCATGTCAATCACAACTATTGCTTTTCTGACACAAATTGCAAACTACTATGTGAAGATATAAATAAATGTGTTCAGTCTTCTTCAGTTTACAGTGATCCCATTGATTCAACAGAAAAACAAGGAGACTTTCCTTTTAATAGTTCACTAACATCTGATGTAAGGAAAATTAACAAGGTTACCACTGAACTGTCCCACAAAAAGGGAAAATAAATTCATTAGACTAAGTATCAACCTGGGTAAGAGTCATTCCAGACTTCATAAACGAACTTGTTGCTGCAGCAGTTGGTGAAAGTGTGCTCAGCTCTACTGGAGTTAAAGGTGCTGTACCTGAAAAGAGTTGGAAACATGTCAAAGATAACGTAACTGGATGAATACCCAAACCATTTGATGACCGTTGTTGGTGCTTGAAGGGATAAAAATTAGATCACAATAGGAGAGAAATTGGAAGAAACCATATGTCTGTCCAGAGTGCTTGTTTACATAAGTTTTAGCATGGAGGGTCAAAAGCCTCTTTCAACAAAATAAACTACAAAGACTGATTTATTGATGATGGTGTTCATTTACTGTAGGTATTTGATATTACCATGACTGAAATTAACCCTTTCACTCCTGTGAAAGTAATTCTCCTTACTGTCTGTCTTGAGAGTGTATGGAGAAATTCCATCTTAATCACTTATAAGAGTTCTAATGCAAAATTGAGAGGGAAACTTATTTGCAATTAAGGAAATTAATACTAAAGCAGTGCCAAATTTTTAAGGTTATGGAAATTAATATGCCTTCAACTCCAATTTTCAATCCACACCGAGTAAGAAGTGCTCTTACCATTTTGGCTATGACTATGACTCACTCTCTCTTGCCTGTGAAAACCAGCCTTAAAGGTTTGTAATTGTTCAAGAGTTTAATTTTACCTCTTTGTCTTGCAGCTGCTAATAAATCATTGGCATTCTCAAGCTCCTTGTCTAGTTTGTTGATCTTTTCCTCTGTTGAAGAAAACATTAATTTTTTTAAAAAATCCTTATTTCTGACTAATTTTTACCAATCTCCTCCTCCATCTAAGATCTGAGTGCGCAAGTCAACATCATTTCAAAAAAAGGGCTATAGTTACCAAGTTCTTGAACTTTCTCCAAATGGGAATTCTCCTGTTCCTTGAATCTGCTATCAAGTTCGAGTCGACCTAAGAATTTCAAGAAGAGAGTAAGCACTCCATAATTTTCTTAACCATTTAACTGCTATGAGTGACCAAAACAGAATTTCTCCTTACAATATCAATACAATATCAAGCAGACAAGTGGTGAGAATAAAGAAAAATATCAATTAAGGGATTACTAGTTGATCTAATACCAAATTCTCAAAGTTGACATCATATGAACTATATGACAAACAGTAGGGAGAATTACTAATGAGATCTTGGGAGTGATAGGGTTAAGAGTCAATTATAACCTGCATGGATGTTTTTTAAAGCTGATTTCAGGTTAGAATGGTTTTAAACAACAGTGGATTGTTTCATACTTTCCTTTGTTTAACCTTCAACTCCCAAGAGTGACCGAGACAGAATTTTCTGCTAACAATGTTGATACAATATCAAGCACACAAAAAGAAAAATAAAATACAATACACAATATCAAGTAGGAAAAAAGAAAAATATAAATTGGGGAATTATGACTTGATCCAGTACAAAATTCTCTAAACTAACATCATACAAATTGTATAACAGACAGTAAGGAGAATTACTAGAAATAATAAGGATTATCGTGGGATTGACATACAGTATCCCAATAACTAAGGTAAAAACATACATATTGTATATCAAACTAGTTTAAGTTTATTTTACTCTAGACTTAATTTTAAACTGAAAAAAAAAAACAACAACAACAACAAAAACAACATCTGCAGTTACTTACTTTCATTAGATTCTTTTAGTAGCTTTTGAAGTTCTTCAAATGCTGTTAGAAGTTCTTCACTTTTCTTCTTTGCTTCATCTGCACTATCCTAATGATAAAATTACTCACAAAGTTATAATCATGATCTCTTTCTTACTGAAATAAGATGCTCTTTTTGGATCAAAGGTGTGTTAAATAAAGAATAATCCATGGGCACAAAAAGACATGGAATTTCTCTTCAAGTGTTCTACTCAATACATTCGCAGCTCACAAATGAGTACAGGGAACAAGTAAGATGTTGAGTTGAACACAAGAAGAGAAATTCCATACACCTGTATTTACAAGCAACTATGTATTATTTTGTTCCTTATATAAGCACAAGAGGCTTTCACTGACTAGAAAAGTTGGCTTTATTCACGAATGAAAAAATAGGATCAACAATTCCTGCAAAAAGTTGGAAGGTGCAGTTGATAAGCCATATCAAACACACATGCAAAATTATTGTATTTTTTTCACATGTGTTGTTATGGCTTTTCTCAGGGCTGGAAATCCTTGTACAACACCACAGTTTGTATAATAAGTGAGGGTGGCAAAGAGTGGGGGGGAGCCTGATCCCATTTCATGCCTGAATTTTGAAAAAATATTCTTGTGTGACAAATACCATAAACTGTGTTTCACATGTCACAGATTTAGAAGGGAAAACTTCAAATTATTCATCTTGTGTGCAATGTTGTAGGAAAATCTTCAGGTTTTCCCAAAATGCAAGGAAACATTCACAGGTCATGTCTTCAGGAGGCCTCATGAATGTTAGTTCATAAATACATAAAACACGCTCACCTTTCTGTAAAATTCACTCTTCACACATTAAGCCTTAATCACACGTCAGGTACAGCTGTATAAACCCTTTGCCAACCTCTTAAATGGTAGAGAGTCAAATATTCCAAGAAAAATCACCTTATAAAGTACTGCCAGCTTTGACTGTGAAGCTAGTTCTGTTTTAAAGTGGTCGTCCTGCTTAATCAACTGCTCACGAGCCTGCAAACAAAACTATACATTAGTAACATAGTACATACCTGTAACTAACTGAGTTTAAGATCTGTACTGTAAGTTAAGGACCAAGTTTTTTTCTGCTTGGGCCATAAATGCTAAAAAAAAACCTTGGAACTTACAGTATAGATCAAGACAACAAGATTAGTGAGATATAACACATATTTCTGGCTTCAAATGGTGACGAAAAGATGTATATTCAATAAACCTTTAAATTCAGCAGGCCATACAGGAAAATGCAGAATAAACATTGTAAGAAATGTATGTAGGACAGCAAGGAGAATTACATTAATTTTGTACTAATCAAATGCATGTTAAAGGGCATGGTCCTCAGAACCCTCACCGCTTGTAGCTGCTGCATGTAGCTTACAACTTTGCTGTTTGTCTCATTACTCTGTTCCTTTAATGTCTCTGATGAAGCTTTAAGATGAGAAAGCTGAAAGATGCACAAGCAAAACATCATTGTACACCCAAAAACTTATAGAAAAGCATAAAGTTATTAACTGCATGCAAAAAGCTGTTCACAACATTGAATTTGTGAAGCACTTTGTAATGCAGAGTATTCCTAAAACTAATGAATCTCTTACCTCTTCAGTTCTCTGATCCAACAGTGTTTGAAGTTCCAATACTTGGGATGACTAAAAAGTAACATTATTACATCAATTTTGTAAAAAAAAAACCTCAACAGAGTATTTCACAGGTTCACTGATATTGAGGAAAAAGAAACAAAAAACCTTGCAAAAAAAATATTCAGCAGAGAAAATTGGTCAATTACAGTATTAAGAATAGGTAAAGGGAATTTTGGCCTGAACTGACAGGCACAAAAATGAACTTAATATGCAAAGACCAAATACCTTTTCTTTCCGAATTTGTACCAATTCATCAGTTTTGTTCTTGAGTTCTTCATTCAGCCATTTATTCTGTCGTTCAATAAGATCCCTTTCTTGTTCAATTCTCTTTTCACGGAACTACAAGAATAACATAATTGTTTAACTTGAAAGAACCAGCTTAAGGGCAGTTGTACAGTACCTCATTTCCAATACTTTTTCTTGTTTAAGGTTTTATAAATATTCAATGGTCATAACAGCTTGTTCTAAGACATTGCCTCCTCATCCTTTCTCTTTGCAACAAAACAATGAGTACAGTAATAACAAAATCTGAAGATATACCATAGACAGTGAATTTACTGATTATAAGCCAGTTAAGTAATCATAATAAAACTCCTCTTGTGCACTTCAGTTTTTAAATGAGGGGGGTGGTTGTTAATTAACTTTTATTACAAAAGGGTGGACGCTTAGTCAAGATGAGCACTTAACTCTAGGGTATTTGTTTTCTCTTCTCAAATAGTTTTCTAGCTATTTTTCTTTGTATCTTTCTCTAAACACATAGCTCTTATCATCCTAACCTTGAAAGAAGTTTCCTGACTTTGAATTTGATCAAGTTTGGCCTGAAATACAAATAACCCAGTTATACAGAAATACAGTGTCTATATACATTTTCCCCTCTCTTCAAGATTAAACACATAATTTTTAAAGTGTGGTTCAAAAGTTTAAGTCTTACAGAATAGTTTTACAACAAAGTTGAGTCGTAATACAAGTAGCATCTTACATGTACATGACAGGACATGTATCACATTTGATATTCTTATTTAATAATGGTAATTGAACTGAGTGGAGTGTAATTTGGGCTGAAATCATACACCTGATTTCAAAATCGAATGAGTGCACAGTGCGAGTTTGATTTGAAATCAAAAGTATGATTTCAGACTAAAAATTGTAGGACATGAGGTTCAATTACCACTTTATTACATCCATTTTGAAATCACCCAAATACAGGATTTGGTCAGTTCAAATATTTCATACAGGATTTGGTCAGTTCAAATATTTCATTGATGCAAAATGGGTGTAATAAAAGAAAAAAATACACCTGACAACAGAGAGGGAAAATAAACCACAGCACAAGAGCATATACATGCAGATTTGAACAGTAGGTACATGTAAATCTCAATACATATGGGACTGTGAATAAGGGCCACAACCTTTAACACTTGTTAAGGCTGAATTCACTCAATGTTATAGGTGATGCTGGTAATTGCTGTTATGTTAAAATTTGGCACCTATTACAATTCTGCAGGTGACATCTCCAATCTAACAGCTGCTTCAAAACTTATTGACAGCTATGACCTGAATCCTACAATTTCATATCTTTTTTCGTTTCAAGAACATTAAGATGCTAAAGACAGTAACCAAAAAGCTGCATTTATACTGACACAGAGTAAATTAGAACACCTCCCACTTTACCTCTGCATCCACAACTTGTCTTTCACATTTACTACCATACCTGAGCTGCACACTTGACAGCATTGGCTTCAGACAGTTTTTCTGACATGCTTTTCCACTCCTCTGTTTTTACATCAAGGACAAAATATTTACATTACTCATTAAAAAATTTATGAGAAATGTTTAACATCAAACCAGAATCCTCACTATAAAGGCCAGTAAGGGTCTTTATTAATTTATAGTTCACTTAAACCTTCACTTTTTATTCAACCATATTTAACACATATTAACCTTATCCTTTTCATTTCTAGGAGAAAAAGTAATCATAAGCCACAAAGAATCTATTTGTTCAATAACAAATAGAAACAAACAAAGATATCAAACAAAGATATTAATTTTCATACCATTCAATCTGTCAATCTCCTGGTTTTTCCGCTCTACAACTGACAAGAGCTCTAGTTTTTCTGATTCAAGTTGTTCATTGAGTCGTGACACACGTGTCTGGGGGAAAAAAAAACAATATCCACACTTCCTAAGAACTAGAGCTCATGTATACATTTCACTGACTGTCATCAGCTTAGAAGAATAGCATGAGAGTGGAAATACACGAGATTACAAAGAAAAGCTTACATAATTAGCTGATGCATCTTCCTTGATACCCTCTACTTCTTGAAGTCTTTTCTGCTTTTCTGCAAGGGAAGCCACTGTAAGAAAGCAAAAGTACAAATTACCTTCAGTATAAAATGACAGCAACTAGGATTTTTGTAAAGTTTGGAAAATAGGAAGCTACAGTAGTTTGTTTCGAAAACAGAACTAGAATAGTGCAAACTGGGGTGAGATTTCTGCACATCATATACTATATAATTGCAAACTTGAAATCCCACACAAACTGGATTGGGGAAAACACCCCTATGTCTGCAGAAATGAAGTACTGCCAATTTTCTAAAGGGCTGCAATGGCCAGTCAGGCCCAATTAAGTTCTATCAGCAATGGAGATACTCTAACACTCCCTGAACAAATTCCTTCTAGTAGAAAACTATTGATAATATTTGAAAGTAATATTGATTGCGACAACATCCTGTGTCTTGTTGAAGTCTTTTGGATGATATCCAAGAAGCATCTTGTTAGATTTTACAGTGTTCTCAACACTATAATAGCAGGTGATGCAGCAGCCTTGTGGTCAGTACACTGGACTGTGGGTCAATGTGTTGTGTTCATTGGTAAAACACTTCACTCTTACAGTGTCTCTCTCCAGCCAGGAGTATGTATGGGTGACTGCAAATTGTCAGGGAAGCCTGATGGAATGCTGCAGGTAACCTTGTATGGACTAAGATCCCATCTAGAGGGGAATGGTGGTACTTGCTAGAGTACAGACTTTTCCGTAACCTTGGATACTATAATAATCACTCGTTCATATACATATCTTAAGCTTACCAGTTTCTTCATGTTCCTTTTGAAGTCTTTCATGCTGTTTTTGCTCTGACTCCAGTTTGGCATTGCAGGAGATTAGCTGCTTCTCTATTTGGTTGAACTGTTGCTCTACATTCACGGAATGATGGTTAGTTTGAGCCAACTCGCCAGATTAACCCATAAGATAATTATATTCACCGCCTCAAACAAATAGCAAACATGATTTCAAGGAACATTCTACAACTCCCAAACGTATTTGAGTTGAAACAGTAAGTCAAAGCCAAAAGGAGCTATATTAGGGAATGTTATCAGGATTTTTATCACGTAAAACGGAAAAAAATACAAACCTGCGTCTACACGTGCCCGTCGAAGGGTAGCCATGTCCGAGCGAATTTTTTCCTCTTTAGAAGAGTATTCATCAAACATCTGCTTGACTTTGAGTAGAAATACGGTTGCATCTTCATGTCTAGTGGCAAACTGAGCAATTAATTCCCTAGAAATCCCTAAAATGACCGATAAAGTTGTCACAACCTCACTCTCCTCTGCTACAGAGGCCGCCATTTTGGCAGTGAGACGCTTTCGAGGTATCATGGGATATTTCTCCTGCGAATTCGTATATTTCGTTCATGCTACATGACAATAAAAGTGAGCCTGCAAACTTAATGGTAGGATAATAACCAAATACAAAGACTCATTGTTTATGACTAGACTGACAAGTGTATCACGGAAAGTGAATTGGCAGATGAAGAGGGAGATGGATTTTTGAAAGCATTAATTCATTCAATCCGTGATACGCTTTTAGTTATAACTCAATGAAATCGTTACTTGCAGATTTGACTCAAAATTTCCTTAATATTTTGGAATCTGTAAATTTGAATAGGCTTTAATCGTGTTTACAAATATGAAATTGTCTTTTATTATTCGTGGTGTTTTATTGAGATGAAGACGCATCGACTACAGTGCGTGACCTCCTCGTGGCCCACCCATCCGGTTTGCGAGGGATCGATACTCTAGTCACGTGGAGCCTGTCCCCTCCCCTCAGCCACTTTTAGAAGGTGAATAAAACTTCATTGAAAAGTTTGGCTTTAAACAATCGTTTCTTCTCATCTCCATCTGATGGCTTTTTAGTTTCTTTAACTTCCTATTCAGACTTTTGATTATTTCGCCTGGATTCAACTTGAAAGTTCCCTCAGGATTATTTTCATTGCTGAGGGGGAGGGACTCAGGACCCTTGCATTTTTTAAAGATCTCAATCTGCATATGTAAATTTTTTTTAATAGTCACTGGCTTGTAACGTTTTAATCATTGTTATCGCGTACCGGTCTGAGCAGAAATTACCAACGGTCTCCGTTTAGCCGGTCTGTCCAAGAAAAAGGTTTCTGTTGCTTTCACTGATACAGTTTGCGCAAAACAGGCTTTGGTATAACAGTAAGTATCACGCAACATACAGCCTGATTTAACGATTTCTTGTTTTTTGGATGGAATGTGGATCTGTCTCGCTTGAACGACCTACTGAGTAAAACAGTTTGATATGAAATCTCTCTTTTTTGTGAAATATCGATTTCGATGCCGATGCTTTAGTGTCAGGAAAGGTTGCGAGAAATCGTCTGCAGTAATTTCTTTAGTTAAATTAGAGACAGCAGACGATTCTTGAAAATAATTATGACTAGATCAATTAGTGTTAATGGCTTCGTATCACTTATTTACTACGAGATTTCAGGTGCAAGTCAGATATACTTATCACACCTAGCAAAAGCTAAAGTAACAGGCTGAGTCTCTTGCGAAATCATTAACAGCTTCGTAATAAACGTTTCCTCTTGAATTCTGGAAGCACGCACGTAGTTGAAACTTTAGAAGTCACTTAGGAAGTATATAACAGTTTCGTCATTTAAATAATATTGACTAACGTATACCGCCCACTTAGCTTTGAAACAGTATTATCGCGATTTTTAGAAGTGACATTAATTAAGTTGTATGGAGCAGGTACATTTTTGTACCCGAAAAGCTGGTTAACTTTTCATAAAATTTTATTCAACGTCTCATCGTTTAAATAACCCGAATTATTTAAATTGCTAATTTGCTAGCTTTTGTTTAAATCAACAAGTCGATTCAGCCGCATGTTTGCGTTGTTAGAGCAAAAAGCAGACTTTGTCATATCTCCCTTACGTAGATATATAACTGACAGCTTTAACTTAGAAAGATAACATTTAGAGTGAAGTGTGGTAAATTAGGAAAGTCCCAGTTTGACGCTGATACTTATGTGTGACCGAGCGATGAAAAATCGTCACACATCTGCGTGCTAGACAATAAGAAACCGATACAACGTAGCACAATAGTTCACTTCTCGAATCATGAAGGAGCTAACACAAGGCTGAATTTTCTGTTTGAAAACTTCAACCAAAATTGATCAAGTTCCATATCTGCAAACCTTTTTAGTGTTAGTAGTGTTATTCATCCTAAGCCATCCGTTTTTCCTCCTTCGCGTTTGCCCACACTAAAAAAAATTATCGATTCAAGGCCTTGCTTCTTTTAAAGGAAATTATTTCTATACAGCAAAGACCGATCTTACGTATCGTGACCTGCCGCTTAAAAGCCAAAAAGAGGCGACGAATTTGCGCTATTTGGTGGTTTACCATTTTATTTTCTTGCGTGACAGGCGAAAAATTTGCTGAAAAACTTCCTTGATGAGAAGGTTTGCATGCTATCTCCTTAGCAGCGAAGTTTCCTTGTTTTGTTTTTTCCTCAAACTTTCGCGATGAATACATTACACGCCGCGGATCGTTAAGTCGTATGACCCAATTATTATTAGTTAAGCAGTAGACCGCACCTTCAATCGGTTTACCGGCGCAATGTTGGGAGAACATGAGAAGATTTTCTAAATCAGGAACCGCAGGTGAATGATAATTCATCTTTTCGAGTGTTCTCCCAACATGCTGCGGGTTATAACGCCAGTAAACCGATAGAAATTGCCATCTACTGCTTTTATGAAATAACCTTTAATTTTCAAAGGGGTTTACCGGTACAATAAGCGATAGATTTTTGACCAATCAGGGTGTTCGTAGTTTCTCTCAGTTATTTTATCACGTGAATGAGTGTGGAGGGAACTTTCTCAATGCAGCATCTTTATTTTGCTGTATAATTTTCTGAATTGATGTAATGACTTTTTTTTGTTCCTCTTGTCAATTTAGCTTTGAACACACAACAGATTAAGAACTGGATCGTCATGGAAACGCTTGACAGTCTCATGATAGTAGTCTGTGTTATTGCACTCATCATTTTGTTGTCGTTGATCGCCTACACGTGGGTAAAGTGGCATAAGCAAGAAGCCCAAGCACAAATGCAAATCATCAACCAGCCACCCCCACCTGCATTTGAGGTCGCAAAGCACCAACCCTACCCCCCTCAAGGGCATTTCCAGCATGGTTACCTGAACGAGGCGGGTAAAGAAAGTCCAAATCTGAGCGGCTCCCGGACATTTCTAAACGATGACGTGTTGAAGCAAAAGCCTTATACCAAGGGTGGACGCGCACCTGAGTTTCAAAGCGATAACGTTGTATACCACGCGATTTCTGAGAAAAATCCTGACACACTTCAAGTTGGTGATGTAGTGTTCCATGCCAAAGGACCTACCGCTGAAAACGGAACGGCTGATGGTGTAGACGCAGGTCACGTGGTATTCAACACAGCGGACGAAAGCGTACGAACAAGACGGGCCTCGTCGCATAGCAAAAACACTTACTTGTAAGGAAATTATGCTTACGACTGCAGTTTGTGATCAGAGTCAATATCTGAACAACTGCGCTCTTACCCCTCCCCTAACTCAACAACAGTCAACTGATAACAAGTCAATTTTAATGTTGGTTTAGGGGAGGGGTAATTCAGTTGAAAAATTATTTTTACAAAACTTTTGTCGTATATTCTGATTAAAATGTTGTTCTTGCCTAAAGGTAAGGACGTGTATAGCGTCTCGAGGGGTAGGTACGTAGTAGCTCAGATACTGACATTGATCCGTAATTTAGTTGAAAAATTATTTTTACAAAACTTTTGTCGTATATTCTGATTAAAATGTTGTTCTTGCCTAAAGGTAAGGACGTGTATAGCGTCTGATGCCATTTTAAAGGTTATTTTAGTGGAACGTACATTACATACACTTAAGGTTATCAAACCATAATCTGCACGTGTCAGCGTAATCTTGAGTTTTACCAGCAGTAACCTTGCGATTCTATCAACTTGACATGCAGATTTTTGACGAGTGAACCTTGGTCTACGAAATGCACTGCACTGAAATTAGCCATAACCATTAATAGAAGGAAACACCAAATCTTGCCGTCTGGAAAATCAGATGCCATCTTCACGGTACATAAAATCTTCAGCGGCGTTCAGTCACTCATCTCTCAAAGGATTCAAGTTCATCTCGGTTTTTGTTTTTTGTTTGTTCTTTTTTCCAGAGGATGAAAAACTTCGTCAATATCAGTGAGCAACAAACGCAAACCAAGACCCTGTTCTAAAGCCGCGGTTACACGTGCGATTTTTTTGCTTGCGATGGTGATTCGGATGGCAGCGAGTTTGAATTTCCCTCGTGAATTAATAAGCCATTGTTTGGCTCTAAAGCTATTGTTTCAAGATATCCTTTTATGGATATTTGAGATACTAAACAAAGGGTATTGTCTTTGAATTTGACCAAGGTTCAATAGTAATATTTCGTGGAATATCGTCAGCTTATCAGATCTTTTTCAGCATCTGTTTACTCATATTAATGAAGCTTGCAGGATAAGCGTCAGTATTTTTTCTCTTTTTTGCGCTTTTGAGGCCAACACCGAGCGCTAAGGGTCTCTTCTTTCACATAAAAGCTTTCGTGAATTTGTGATACCTTTTGAAAGGTTATTGTAGTATCCTTGTGCAGTATTCTAAACTTTTGACATTGATTTCTTCATTTCTTTTCCGCGTTTGTAGCGTATAAAGAAGTATAGTGTGAAATATCTATATAAAATGTAAACGTAAAAATAGCATGGCAATTGGGGGAGATTAGTATGCTTTGTATATTCTTGGTTGACCTATTTTTATAAACGTTATGATAAATTCAATTTTTTTAAAATGTAGGACTGTCGTAGGTCATTTCCCTTGGAGGAAGGGACTGGTTACCAACAAGCATTTTGCAATGAGTTAAATACTTAGGGACTACACATTATTTATATATCCCTTGGTTGGGTCGGAGGATTTTGGTTGTGTCACGATAAAATCGGCTGACCCCCTGCCCCCCTCTCATTGGCAGTCAATTTTCTATAGTCCCCCGTTTATACCCTGTTGGCGACGACTGATCCTCATCTCCGTTCCCCCTGAAAACCATGTGATCTACCCAGAGGATAAGTAAAGATTGGCGCCTTACTGGTCTGTAACTTGTTGTCAGAGTACAACCCAGACGAAAGGATCCCATCCATTTGACTGGACGGACAGACATATGTCTAAAAAAGAAAACAAAAAACAAAAAAACAAAAACAACACTGACGAGTAGGTGATACATATTTTACATCACTAGAGCGCCATGTGTGTCAGTGGCTCAACCGGCGTTAATTGAGAAAGGAAGGGCTCCTGGGAAGAAATGGGTGGAAACACCAGATTACAGCCTCCCTATCGAACGCATAGTTTGTTCTTAAGAATTTCAAGGACGAGCAATCATCCACCCGCTAATTTTGTTTTTTGGCACCTCAGTTTTGAATTTTAGAAATTATTTGGCCACGATGCCGATAAACCTCAGCAGTCTGTAGTTTCACGCTGGTCCCAAATGCATTTAGACGTTTTTTTTACACAGGAGGTCTTGGCGAATTAAGTTTCAATCAGCAACTGAGGCTTGGCTCAGTAAGAAAGCACCTGATAGTTTGCATTATTCAGAACGAGCGACTTTGCCTGCAGTTTAAAAGCGCCACACGAGGAGACTAGATACCATTATTTCTGCTGATGGATACCATAAGGGATTACATGTTCTTTTTTTCCTTGATATAACAATGGGAAATATTGTACAGCTTCTTGAGAGTAAAATAGCGCAAAACGTTCTCTTAAATGTACTGAGTAAATTACTCCTACCAAGTGGCTTACTAATTACAGCCCGAAGTCTGAAAGAAACTATACAAATGGAAAAACAGTGAGGATCGTAGCCAATCAATCTCTTTGGCAGCACGAGATGAATTTGCGGTATAGTTTCCATCGTCTTTTTTGAGCCATTAAAGTAATATTATCATCAAAATTTTATGAGAAGGAATGAAACCGACGGAGCTATGTCTGACCGCGGTCAATATTTCAATTTCGAACACTCGCGTCAAGAGGTGGCGAGATGAAGGCGAGATGAAAAATAATTGAGGAACACGGAAACAGCCAAGCCACGGTGCATTTTACTTGGTAAGAGAATCATTTTCCAAAAATCTATGCCGCTGAGTCTAAAAATGGAATATATATTTTCAAGTAAAGTAAATTACCATGTTCATCGTGAAACTAAGCATATTTATTCAATACTGATCCGTCCGCTCTATTGAATACTGGTCTAATAACACGTAACAACCGTAATCTAGGAATGACTTATTAAACTGCGCAAACAGAACTGTCGTCTTCTGGGAGATTAAAGCAGTGCTTAAATATTAGAATTATTGCATCTAGGGTGTCAGCCAGAAACCCTTTTTCCTTTTTTCTTCGGTTGTAAAAATGTAACGATATTGGGTCGGGTAGAGTCTGTTAAAAGCCTTAGCTAATTTTTTAATGCATTACGCGACGAAATATAAAATTCTCGATGAAAAAAAAAGAGTAGCGACAGTAACTCTTGAGAAACTGATGAAAAAAAGTTATTAAGGAGTATTGAAGAGTGGAAAGCTTGTTTCGGAAGTGATTAAAATCATTTTGATTTGCGCGCATGACAATATGCGTCTTTTACGCTGGATCAGACGTCTTCAAGCGAAAAGAACTAGAAATAAATTAGTTGGTTTATCTGCAAAAAATAAATGACAGTTATACCGAAGAAGAATGAAATTCAATGCCAAAGGAATTAAAATATGACCCAACACAGACCTTTGTAGCATTACGTTTTCCTTTTTGATATAAGGAGAGATAAAACTTAGCTGGCATCACATGAAAAAAAGGATGCCGTGGATCGCATTTACATCACATTTACCTGATTTACATTTATAGCTTAGGTTTGTTAAAAACGCCCACTAGTAATTTTTTCTCCTTTTTTCATTCAGAAGTAGCACCCTGCTAGCTTATTGTGGGATATGAAGAAAACGCCTCATTTATTTCTTTGTGTCTTCAAGAAAGCCAATATTACGAATGTTAAGTCTCGCTCGCCTAGGCACTTTCTTCGTAAATGATGGATGGTGGCGACTAGCGAGGCAAAATTAGTCTCATTTGATTCGAGTGGGGAACCATGAAAGGATATTACTGTTTACGCATTGCTTGCGATCAAGATAACGTCACAAATGATTTATTCAACAGTTGCACTCACCTGTCAGAGTTACAATGCACCTGTACTGCGCGTGCCATCCGCCAATTTGACCACAAGACAAAGATATGCTAAAACACTCATTCGTCGAGAGATAACACATAACACATGGCTTGCGAAGATACGAGTAACGCCGCAAGCGAATAGCTAGGCTCTCGAACACATCATTTCTCGTTGATCTAAATCGTTCGCTTTCAATACTCTGCAACAAGTGGCTTCCTTGTATTCCAGTTGACGCTATTCAACGACAGAAGGGCTCTTCACTTGGCGCGTAAGTACGTCTAACTCGCCCATATTAATACGTTGTAGTTGGTAAACAGAGAATTCTCTTATTTAAAGGAAATGAGACGTTAAGTTTGTGAACGAGTTCCACAACAAAAGGACTTATTGATGAAACCGCAACGTGTTCAGAGGTTTATCAAGTAAACAAGTTTTTAAAAGTGAGGGATTAATCTGTCTGGGTATGCGCGTGCCAATCGACCGTAAACTGCTGTTCTTTGTATCCAACCAAATGTTGACAAGTAAAATTGGGAACTGTTGAGTTGAACTTTGTGCATTAAGGAAAACTTCGTCCGTTCTCTACAAGGCGAGCAATTTAGAGATCGTTACTCCATTTTAAAGGGAAGTTTGAAGGGCGCAACACCTAAGAGAGGTGAGTTCAAAGCGTATCAGTCAAATGCAAATAACTCGCTGTTTAGAGAAAAGATAAGTATTTGGTCGAAGTTGTAATGACTGTTTCAGTCAATTTGAATCTTTGATAAACCAAATATGTCGCACAAAAGGGGAAACATTTGTCAGGGAGGTACAAACATTGATTTATTAATATTCTGTAAACCGCAATTTTAAGATCACTTGAAGTTGGCCAACCTTCTGGAATAAGCTTGGAATCTTCAGTCAAGTAATTAAGAGTCATATTGAATTTGGGCGTGGATTTTGCTAACACAACAAAAGTAAAAAATTGATTACACTCGGACGTAGAAACTATAGAATGGAACGAAAATAACGTAAAATGTTATATCTTAATACTATAAAGAGATACAACTGCCATTTTTCCCCAAAAAATAGCTATAAGAATTTTCTGGTTCTTTTCAATTTTTTATTCACTTATTAAATTTAGGCAAAGACTCTCGCGGTGAAAGCGTGGTTTAGTCTTAAGCATCAAAAAGCTCTCCATGGCAACTAATTCACACTGAGATACTCAAAACATAGGAAATTAATACTTTGGCGCTTTGAATAACGTCTCGTCAAACGACACTCTACATAGAATTTCGGTAGTACATTTTACATTACAAAGTTTCTTTTTTAACAATCAAATTTTATCTACACTTGCTCGCGTGATTCTATCCTTTGCATGTGTTTTAGAATTTTCGCGAATAAATATGGATTTCGCGTATTGATTTAAAGCTTGTATTAGCCTCACCCTATGCAGCCAATACCAAGGAAAAATAGATTAAGGCAGAAATATATTTGGCTAAAATAATTTGAATAATAAAGAAAAGGGCTTACATTAATCTTAACAAAAAGTCATAGTTTTTTATCAACACAGGCGTCATTAGAAACTCTAATCAAACAGAGGCTTTCTTGGAGAATAATCACTTGTTTTGGAATCAGTTTTCACCACACAAAAATAATATAAACAAAATTATCAGTTTTGTTATTTCATGATACATTCAATAGGTTTTATATTTCAGCTGCGTCCATTCACGGTTGAGCTTTGCTTACATTTTGTAATATAAAGTATAATAGTCTTCTTTTTCTGACATTGCCAAAACTTTATGATGTATGTTGTTCGTAACCCTCGTCATAAACTTCTGACATACACGAGCTTTGTTTAGTTCGTCACACAGTTTTGTGCGAATATTTTTTGTATGAATAAATAACTGATATGATATCAACCGACAATTAACATTTTTTTTTAAAGCTACAAACTTGATGATGGCAAAACTCCTTATTCTTGCTAAGGCTTTGATCAACTCTTAGCAATATATTTCTCAGTCGGTTTTACCCTTATAACTGAAACACCATTTTATAGAGAACGGCGCGCATTTTTAAGAGAACATCTTGTCTTTTTCGGCAAGCTTCGCATCTGCCGAAGTGTAACACTCGTAAGTGGATTTTCGATTGATCGAGATAGGTTTTTGCCACTTAGAAAAACGACCTACTAGAAGGTTTTTTTCTGGTAACAAGAAATTATTATAATCAATTTCGCATTTTTTTTTTCTTAACGGAAGAGGCAAAATTAAATGTCACCCATGTTTTAATTGAAACGGAAATGTAAGTATCCGCATCTTTGAGTTCATCGCCATTTTCAGTTCACATAAGAGAGGTGATTGGGCACGAATGAAGCGATAGAGTAAACACTTGATGTTGTCGCACTTCAAAGTTTCTCGTAAATTCTGGTCAAAAATGGCACTTTAATTAGGAAAGTCAAAAAAACTTCACAAGCGTGAAATTAAAGTGTCAAAATAAAACACTTGATGAGAAAAATAAATTGAAAGTTTTTAGTGTCAAAAAGCCGGATTCTATTGGAGAAGAGAGATTTTTAGGAAGCCGCAAATCTTTTTGTTTATCATTTTCTGCGCTGTGTTTATCAATCCTTTGTCACTAAGCCAAGCACGCAACGCTTGGGAAAACTATCTTGAACTAAAAGATAGTTTTTTTGAGCGACTCTTGTATTTGTCGTTTGAGGTAGTAAAAAGCTTTTATGAAAAGTTCGCTCCGAAGTTTTTATCTCAAGGTATTTCCCAAAGTCGTGAAGAAGGAATGTTCGGCGGTTAACCGCTGTTTTTAAAGACAAATTTCCGATTTCCGCACCGAAACCAAAAGCAGGATATCCCAGAGACCACGAGGGACGGTTTCTTTTTATCGGCAATACGATTTCGCGATAAAATCGAAGCTACTATACACAACTTAGAAGGTATGCTCTTCTTTTGCAATCATTCCTGAGATAACCTCCTGAATATTTAAGTTCAATAATTTACTTTGAACTATGAAATGCGGTTGGTTGTGGTTTGTAAGTGTTTTTGGTACATAATTGTGTAACGTCAGTACGCCTTCTTATCAGTTAGATGAACCAGGAAAAGCTTTCTCTATAACCAAGTGTTAAATCAAAACTCAGAATATGAATTTATGCGTGTGATAAAACTTAAATTACACTTTTCATTACCGTATAACATGAATGAATTTATGTATCTTACGGTTCTGTCTGTCTAAACCTGTAGCTCTAAGTCGAATTGCAAGAACTTTCCCTAAGCTAATCTTGGTCTTCAAAAATCGATGCCCTGAATATAAACTATTGCGTTCTTATTATTTTCATTTCCAATATATCCTAGATTTGGCACTTAAACTATATAAAAGGAATTAAGACAACCAAGATATTGTATATATTTATGCTAATAAACAGCAAATCAATATTCAGAGTTAGTGAGGCATTTAGATTTCAAACTGAGTGTTGTCGAACACACGGAAACCTGAACCGAACGCGGCAACCCACAGGTAATTTTATCTTTAACTCTTTATGATGGCAACTTGCCTGGTCTCGAACTTCAAAGCTGATGCTATGTTTTGTCTAACTACCCTACGTTATCTAAACTGAAGGTTTGTCTTTATCTTTTAGAGAAGTCGTATTGATTAGTAAGATTTGGTTTAGTTGGGGCCAGATGACTTCAGTATGAACTACAAGTGTAGCAGTTGTAGTTTTAGTTGTAGTAAACTGATCAAGTTCGTTATTTCAAAACTTGTGATACATCCTTAAACTAGTCTAGTAACTGGTAACTGTAACCTCTCAGAAGGAGTATAGAAATCTTTGACCGAAGAAAAGCCACCACCATCGAAATCAAATGAAAAATTTTGCCACTTTGATACATTAACATCATAAAGGAGCCCGCCGTCAAGTTGTTCGCAATGACTGACTGATTTTAAGTCATGACAACAGTTTCAAGAGAAACCATATTTTCGCCAGAGAAACATGTGACGAAACTTTTCCTGTTTCGCTTTTCAATTTCTCTTTATCTGATGGTTGTTTTTCTTGGCAAATTCTTTTCTTTGACGTCTTTCAAACAAAAACGGTTTCGCTATTTTTTATATTCACTAGACTAGAACTTGGTACAAACTGATTGCATTCACAATTAGTGCCTTCAGGCAATATATAATTTTGGGCAAGGATTCATAATTAGTTTGAAGCATTTTGAAAATTTCCAAGTCGGAACCTCTCATAGAAACTGAAGTATTTGGAGCCATACATTTCATATATTTGGTTCTTAACTAAGGATAATTCGAAATATACAAGCTGAGTGCTTCTGAAGTAATTAGCATGAGAGACAATTCTCCATTGACGTATCCTGACCTTCGCTGTCGTAACTAAAAGCCTTCTACATTATCAAACGCTGCATGCCTGGAGTTTTTTCTACTCAGGTTTTGCAGGAACCCACTGGATTTTTCTTTTTTTTTTTGGTTTCGTTCACAAAAATGTAGCTGAAAACGATGACGAATTTCAATCGCCGTGGTTTCTCACTCAAAGAAGGCTTTCAGTAATTACCGTAACACCGACATAAACTAAGCAATATCAAATTTTCCGGTTAAAAGATATGATCATTCATTTGCTATGTGATGTTAATCTGGGAAAAATGTCATTCCTTCTAATTTCTTAAACCAAAAACCACGACCGTATTTTTGTTATGAATTCAAATTTAGCTTTAACTCAAGTTTGTTTTTAATCGCTAAATAATACACAGTCTTGATTATTTTGTGACTAAAATCGTTCTATTTTGCTATCTTTCTTATTTTGTTTGTTTATCTATATCTTTCGGAAAGCTTTGTTACAAGAGATGATCACATTGGACAAAGCTGTCTATTTGGAAAAGAAAAAAGAGCTTTCTTCAGATTTTTAAATTGCAGAGTCATACCGCAATTAAAATGAAACACATTGACACGCGATAAAACGGCAAAGGCTGACCAATATCGTAAAAAAAGACGCTTCGACGGAGGCGATCCATAGGTCTAACTTAATCTATTGGCAGAACTATATCTGTTGAAGCTAAAACCTCTTCACGTCGAACCGAATTCTTACCCGAATCCGGTTTGAATTAAAGAACAACGGGCCAAATTTGTGAAACTCGTGTTTCTGAGTGTAAAAAGTCAGAATTTTTTTGCGTGATATGTACTTACGCACCTACCTTTTAATTGGAAATATTAGAATCAAGCAGTGAAGTTGGAATAACACTCAAACTGTTCCAGTAGAGAATATCGAAAAGTACTCCTTCATGTTCCCTTTGGAATAATTTGACTAAAAATCCTCAGATACAACATACCGTTTCTGTAACACTTAATTTTAACAACGTCACGGAAATAACATTTTTAACCCTCTCTAGGTAAAGCTAAAGGAATGGAGACGATGATTGGTATAATATTAATGATCACCATGGCAACAAATATTCATTACGTAACCAGCCAAGTTCGTCGCTTGATAGTAAAGGGCGAGATTGTCATTGGAGGTCTGGTACCGATACACGATCATGACTTAGTGGATCAAACGCATTGCGGAGATCTTCATGAACGCATTGGTATCCAAAGACTTGAGGCCATGCTCTTTGCCATCAACAACATAAACAAAAACAATTCCATTTTGCAAGGTGTCACCCTTGGACTAGAGGTGTATGACACCTGCTCTAGCGAGACAGTGGCTCTGGACAGGGCCTTACACTTCGTGCAAGACAGGGAGGCTATCCGGGAACATCTTTCCGCAAATGGTTCCGTCATGATGGGTGTAATAGGACCATCTTTCAGTTCCATCTCCGTGCAAGTTGCACATCTGTACCGCTTGTTCCAGCTTCCGCAAGTGAGTTTTGACTCCACCAGTTATGAACTGAGCGATAAAACAAGATTTGAGTTCTTCTCTCGTACAGTTCCACACGATCTGTACCAGGCCAAGGCGCTAGTAGACATCGCTAAAGTCATGAACTGGACCTACATCTCAATTGTTTATAGTGACGATTCTTACGGCACGCTCGGCTATCATGCTGTCAAAGAGGAAGCAAAAAAAGCAGGTATGAAAGCTTTAGCTTATGAGGAATGTTCACAGGAATTTTCAGTGTTCATGCTTATAAGTAAGGGAAGGGGGGAGGGGGCCTTGCACTAACGCCCTACCAAGATGCCTTTAGCTGAGGTATTCCAGGTTGTTTTAAATGTTATAAACAATGACATTTTTTGACAAAGTAGGGAACTAGGTTCACCCTAAGACCTCCTTCCCCGTCTCTTCCCTATCACTGTTTACCAAACCTCTATCAGCATCTAAGCGAGTGGTTTTCCAAGTCAAATCCTAAATTATGTTCAAAAGCTTTCTTTGTAGTGCGAATTAATGGTGCTAGTGGCGCAATAACCTATCAAAACTTGACAAAAAGAGTCAATAGACTCAACGAGATGAAAGGAAGGGAGATATGCCCGTGTGAAGTGTAAGTGTAATTGGTACAATTTTAGTTCCTTTTTTTGCTTCTGACTGGACAAAAAGAGAGTAAGTATGGTAGGAGTACATCGCGTATATGAAACATATTGTTTTGATTCATTTTAGGACAGCAAGTCAGGCGATGAAAATTAGTACTTTTCACCGATACTTCTTCGAATTCAGGTCACTTTTCAAAATACTTTTTTGTGTTTAGGTATTTGTATTGCTGTAGCCGAGAAGGTTGAAATATCTAGTCCAGCTGCTACATTCAACATAATCATCGATAAACTCCTGCAAGAGACCGAAGCCAGAGGCGTGGTAGTTTTCAGCAGTCAGGAACGACAAATCCGAAATCTCCTGCAAGCTGCAAAAAGCAAAGGAGCATCTGGGACTTTTCAGTGGTTAGGAACAGACGCCTGGGGAAACATGTTGTGGTTAAAAGGCTTGGAAGATGTGGCAGAGAACACCATTACAGTTACTCCGAAAACTGTGGAACTGAAAGCTTTTAACGACCATTTTTATCGTCTGAAGCCCAGTGTGAACTCCAGTAATCCATGGTTTAACGAGTTTTGGGAGCAACATTTCAATTGTTCGCTTAATAGAAGATTGAATGGTAAATGTAGCCGCTTGAATCTTAACGTTATGAACAGTCCAGTGGATAATCGTGTCGCAAGTGCTATGGATGCCGTCAACGTGTTTGCACATGCACTAGATGCTATGCTGAAAGATAAGTGTTCGGGCGCGAGTGGTGTTTGCGAACGCATGCGCAATATGTCGGGAAGAGAGATCTTGAAGTATATCAGAAATGTCTCTTTTATAGGAGAAAGTGGTAATCATATGCACTTCGATGAAAATGGTGACGTTGAAGGGCAATATGACATTCTTATGTTCACAAAGCGTGGAAACGAGTACAAAACTGTTCAAATTGGCGAATGGGACTCACACCTGTTGAAAATGTATTCAAAGGCTCTGTCAGTTTTTGGTGGAGTGTCTTCCTCTTGTCACCCAGTTTGTAAGAACAAAGAAGTCAGAGTGCCTGTTGCTGGTAGAGAATCCTGCTGCTGGACTTGTACTTTGTGCAATGGAAACCATTATATAGTCAACGACAGCATTTGCGAGCAATGCCCTCTGGGATACAAACCAACGTACGACGGACGCTCGTGCGTGAAAATCGACATCATGCATTTTGGAAAGAACTGGATTCTTTCTTTATCAGCCACCGCTTTTGCGGGTCTAGGAGTGGTGTCAACACTTTTTGTAATCGGTGTGCTGATCAAATTTGACAAGACACCATTAGTCAAAGCGTGTGGTCGGGAACTTTCCCATCTTCTGTTGATTGGTATTCTGTTGGCCTTTAGTGTGACGTTTGTTACAATACTGGAACCTACAGATGTCACTTGCATTGCACGTTTCTTTGGCAACGGTGTGGCTCTAACAATTTGTTACGCGTCCTTGTTTATAAAGACGAACCGCATCTCCAGAATTTTCAATCGTAAGAACTTAGCTCGTAGACCGATACTAATCCTGCCCCTATCGCAGCTTGTTCTGGTCGTTGGAGTGGTCTCGGTGCAGATTTTACTTTTGGTAATGCTTGCGCTTCTCCGGACTCCGCGAGCTAAATTTTATTACCCAGAAATCTCCTCAGTTTACCTCGATTGCTCGACTTCAAATCTAGACTTTGGACTGTCTCAAGTGTATAATTTTATACTAATCACCATGTGCACGATTTACGCTTTCAAGACCCGGAAAATCCCCAGTAATTTTAACGAAGCGAAATACATAGCTTTTGCCATGTATTCATCGTGTGTGGTATGGCTCGCTTTCTTGGCGGTGTATTACATGGAACAAAAATACGAACTGAAGCCTTTGATCCTGTGTGTTAGCGTTTCTTTGATAGCCTTTGCTCTCCTGTGCTGTCTTTATGGGCCTAAGGTGTATATCATCCTCTTTAGACCACACAGGAATGTCCGGAGACACGTAAACCCGAGTTTGAGTCTGTCCAGCTTGAGCAAAGAGAAAGGCCAGAATTCGAAGTCCACGCATGCGTACGTCGGAATGAACGAAAATGCTGAAAACGAGGGTGAAGACATCCCTAGTAGCAGGTAATGGAAACCTCGTCACTTCTCAGTTTTAAGCCGAATTGCTTATGCTATGATCGAATACGCAGCAATAATGAAAAAATCGAAAAATCCGTGAACGTAAATCAGCATCAATGACAGGGTATCCAATTGCTTACCCAGCGGCCTCGTGCTGACATCTCGCAAAAATTATAATTTCTTGTTTGGATGAGTTATGATATTTTCTAAGGTATGGAGCACAAGGGCCACGCTAAAATTTTTAGAAGCTTCTGTGTTCTAAGTTCTTCTTCAGCCCTGTCTGGTTATTTCCAATTGATGATAAAAACGACTTTTCTATTTAAGTAAAACATTTGAGGCAATGGTAGTTCTACAGAATCTAGATCAGTTAATGCTTCTATATTTTTATGCATAAGTGACACTAGTGGATACAAGGAGCTGTTTAAAAGGCTTTGTAAAAGACTACTTTGAGGGTAGTAATTGCATACTATGATTTGACACTCCAGTTCAGAACATTTTTCATGTTCACTGATTTAAAAACTCGTGACGCGATGGTCAGAAAAAAAGAAAAACTTTGCTAACTTTTTTACAGCGCTGAGGATGCATTAGAAAAACAGAAGATGATCATGTCTTCAGATTCAAGCAAACATGCCTCAGAGACGTGTTCGGAGGAAAACAGTGACCCCACCAAGAAGCTTGAGGTATGTATCAATCACTTTTTTTACTTTAAATTGATCTATCACATCTTCATTCAGTGAAGCATTTTGCTAGGAGCTCTCTATTCATAACTTTCGATGCTTTCACTCAAACATCAGAATATTCAATTGTATGTGATCACTCTTTTTATCACGAAGATCACTCCCCTTATCACGAAGATCACTCCCCTTATCACGATAGCATATATGAGAAGTTAAACGCCACAAGGAGCCCCACCCATACTCACTAAGTATCCACGAAGTGTATTTCCCCATCGGAAACTGTTCATGTTATAGCCAGGCGTTCACTGTCAGAGTCAGAGCTACTTTGTTACACGTCATGTTTCTTTCTGCAGATGGAGAAGCTTATTAAGCATCTACGAAAAGAGCTAATCTCTACCAGGGAAACACTCCGCACGACACAAGACCAACTTTTCAGGCGCATGCAGAATGGTCGAGACTTGAGTGAAACGAACTTGCCACAAGGATACGAGAAGTTACAAGCACATAAAGGTGAAGCTTGTTCAGGGTGGGTATCATGATGACGTTGCCGTGATTTGTAGGCCATAGTGATATAACGATAGTGTGGGTGGGTGCAAACCTGAAAATAAGACCTTTCAGATAAAAGTGAGCGACTTTCGGCGGCCTTGCTCTGATGATGACTTTAGCGTGGGTTTTCCGAAATGTCATTCTCTTTCACCGACAAAAGTCCTCTGAAGACGGAAGTTCTCTGACGGAAGATCACCATTGGAAGATCACGCCATCGTTACCCCCCCCCCCCCCCGGTTTAAACCGTTAAATATATTACCGAGATGTTCGCTGACATCCAGGTTACCAAGAAATCGGCCATTTTCGTTCCCGAGGCATTTGTACCTTAAAGAAAATAGTGATTTGGTGACAGGATTGGGCCAGCGGCGATGACTGAGCGTGGAAGGAAAATGAGCGAACGAATCCTAAAGATTGTGCGATTTTATCAAAATAAGAATTTTCACGTCACTTTTTCTACTCCTGATGTAAAATTTTAGATGCACTCTCAGCGGATTTGAACAAATTCTGACCTCTTTCCATTATTTTTCATATCTATTTTACTTATGTATCACAATTTTCATTTGATGTTATCAGTTCATTTCAATGTATTGTGCCTTTGAACATCTTGCGTTAAAAAGTGCGATAGAAATCAGTTCCTACCTAATTGTTATTATAAGCCTGCATGTTCTACTGCGTTATTTTCATTTGCGTTGCACATGTGAACTAGGCTTCAAGCCTGGTTCACACGTACGACGTAAGTGCAAATGCAAGCCACGTTCGCAAGTCGAACGCAAACGCAAGGAAGGCAACATATGCAGGCGTAATGGAAATGCTTTTACAAGATGGCGAACGAGGATGTGGCCTCAGCACAACGAGTTTCCAGCTTTTCCTGTTGTCATGGGGGTGTAGAGAGGAGTTTTAAACTTAGAGTTTATGCCAGCATCTTATTGGAGTTTACTGAAGAACACAGCACGTAATACCATAGATCTCAACTCATTCATATGAAAGAAATAGGGAAGATCAGAACGGAATCACGCGCGCAGGCGCACCCACGCCCCTAACTGGTGTATGTTTACTGTTACTTTCACTTGGTTTAATAATTTTCGTTTTCCTAGGAAGACTTTAAACAACTGGCCGAAGGGAAAGACACCGAAAGTTTCTTATGAGGAAGAAAATAGTAAAGAAAACATATTTTGTAAACAAAAGGACTTCAAAGCAACTAAAAGACAGAAATTTTTGCGCGGGGAAAAACCAATTTCATCTCAACGAAGGTTGCCAACTTGCGTTCCACTCAGTGACGTCATGGAGGATAAGGATTTAGAAGGTGCTGGCCTAGAAATCGGCAAGGAAAAATTGAATGATACCGAAAAAAAACGTGCTCATGTTGATAGTAGATGTTTTAGTGACCATACTCCTCGGAGGAACAGTATGACAGACACGTTACAAACTAGTAGAAGGAAATCGGATTCTGATATTGACTTGAAAACTGAATTGATGGATCAACATTTATCAGAAGGGGTGGATCAAAAGGAAGGCGAACAAGATGCACAACTGCTGCACAATAAAACTCCATGTGAAACGTGTCAGTTGCTTCTGAGTGATGAACAAAACAATAGAGTTATTTGCACCGCATGTTAAAGAAAAGAAACTTATTAAGTAGGATTATGAAAATTAACTAGATCTAACTAGGGATCTTAGTTTAATTCAGTGAAGAAGCAATCGAGTTTCTACCGGTCCGGATAGCTAGCTGTTTTAGTTCGGATACTTGATTGAAGGGAAGGCGACGGAGCCGCAAACACGCAATTAAAATAAAAGAACCTGCCAAGAGGCAAAAAAATAAAAACAAATTTTATTGCGGTTCTTACTTCAAAATTTTTTCTCCTTCTTATTCTTCTCGCGTCATGTCACTACTTTCTCGGCTTCGTCGCTCAAACTCAGTTCCACAAAACAACCTGCCAACACTGGCCAAGGGGGCCAAGTTTCACCCTGAGAACCAAACTTATAGGGTTAAAGCTGGCTTTACTGGCCGTGACCGATATCTTTTGACAAAAATTGCAAATGTAAATTAAAAGTTTGTTAGTGCCACTTGCGCACCGATTTTGTTTGTGTAAGCCAAACAAAGAAATGCAGACGAGTAAAGTAAAATTATACTTTTTCGAAGCCATGCAATAGCGGAATGAATCTTATCAATCAAGTGTAGTTTTTCAGTGGCTGTTATTCAACTTTTACGTGCCAAGACGAATAAACCTTTAAAGCCGTCGTTAAGATTTTTTACCCAAAACGTTCCCTTGTGTGGTCTTGTGTGAGTGCGCGTTGAGTGGCAAGCCGTGACCGCAAGGTGGCGACGAAGACCAAGTTAGAGAGAGACAGAAGGCATCTCATCCCCTAGTCTGGTTAGTAATTTGTCTGCTTCTCAAGATCTTTCGCTCATTTCTCCTTTTTTCCCTCACCTCATTTCCTCCCTTTATTAAACGACCTTAATTGCTCCTCCCCCCCTAAGAAAAACGTCGAGGAAAAAAAGTCCAATTGGTGTAGAAATGAAACAAAGAAGAAACAGATTCATCCTAACTAACACAACTATCATAAAAATTACAATTTCCTCGATTGTGATTGGTTTAAAAAACTCCTACTTTCCACTTATTCACTTACCAAGCTATTAAAAGCTAATCACAGTCAAAGTTGTATTGTAAATCAACCAATCACATTCAAAGTTGTAGTTTAAATCAACCAATCTCAACCTTGGTTTCAATCACCAAAGAAACAATGTACATACTCCTAAATTGGGACTATTTTCAAAATGGAGAAATCTTTTTGCCTTTAACAAAGACAATATTTTGGAAGACAGTAGTGATTTTGTTTATCCTATAGTTCAAATATTTAGGCAAATAATCCAAGCTCTTTTCTCGGAAACTGTAATTTTTATCTTCGTGTCGTCCAATTCGGTCTGTAATCATACTGGTGATGAACAAATCAGACTCCCGACCGAATTGGACTCCACTCAGACCTATTACCACTACTAACTACGTTGCGAAAAAAGGAAAGATTAAAACTCAACGATCCTTGCCTTTTTGTGGCTTTTTGATCCATATGAGACGGATATGTAAAGAGATCCAAAATACACTAAATATTGTGTTATTTTCATCAGTGCGTCACGCAATCTATCATGTCAAGAATCATGACCGTTTTATGTACTGTAATCCGATTTGTCAACACCATTGTTATGAGGCGCAGCAGTTCTTGTGCAACGCTTACTTCAAATATCCTGCGCTTTGCAACGTACACCCGAGAAGCTAGCAACAATCCTTCATCTCTACCTACTAAAAGGTGAATACAAGGTCATAAAAGTGAGTGCTCTTCAAGGTGGGTATTGTTTCGGGCTAGGGGAAACTAGCGCTCTCTCTTTTGAAAATGCGAGGTTGTTAGTAAGGCAAATTACAATTTGCGATTATGTTGTGATCTTAGGCAAACATGTGCTCTTGCTTTCATTGTGTTGTTAGAAGATTGAACTAAAAGAAAAAACAGAAAGCGGCTAGTCTTTGTTTGCTCTTGAAAGTGTTCTGGGGGGCTCTAGGACACTTTATGAGGATATTTTCATAAGAAGATTCGGGTCCACAGGTTATTGGCCGGTGCCTAAGAATAAATGTGGATCGGAAGAATCGCGATGTTCAGCGTATAGTAATCACAAGAAAATGTTTTTTTCTCTGGCGTAATAAATAGCGGAACCACCATGATCAACGACGAGAAAGGAAATGCGAAGTTTTAAAAGATATCCTTTGAAAAATGGAGGTTAAAAAGCCACGTAACACTGAGCTTATTTACTCAGTAGTCACATTTTTGGCTTCACGCCTCTGATTTTTTTAAAGTTTTGATTCCTACGGCAGATTCAAATAAATAATTTAAATACTTTGAAAGTTCACACGACACTTTGAAAACAGCGAAATGTACATGTAAAAAACCTTTTTTACTTTTTTTAAAGTGATTCCTGATGCCTGATTTTAACATTTCGGCAATCCGCAATAAGACCAAGTCCAGATATTACGCGCGTGCTGAGCTAATGTTTTACTAGGAATTCTTTTATTACACTACGTCCTCTTACCGGATTCGTTGTGGTTTCTTTAACAAGGACCAACTATTCATGTATGACGGAAATCCAGAGGCATCGATTTTGGTTCAAGTTCTAACGAGGATCGAGTTGAGGATGGTTGGAATCACCGGGGTGTTACTGTACGGGGAAAGGATTATTAATATCGTCTTGATTTTAACGATTTAACAAAATATAGCATGATTTGATGTAAATTACCTGTAAGAGAACTAGACAACGATCCTGAACGAAAATGTCCGCAGATAGGACTCGACCAAAGGGTTTCTCTCTTCGTACGCCAGGAAATTTGAGTGTTCTTAAATGAACTTGCATGTTTCACCACCCAGGGAATTCCAAGTCAGATAAATACTAGAATACACCCCAGGGGTCCTAATCTGAATGACAGGGTGTGTCACGACAGGAAATTGAGGAACTTGTGCTGTAAGAATTCTGGTTAAATAACTTAAAACATTACCTAGTAGCACTCAGAGGTGAATATACAGTGTGCTAATGACAATGTTTTGAATTTCCAGTTTAAATAATCAAAAATAATACCTCTGCTGTTACTGGTACCTACTTGGATGAGATATTAAAATTGTTGAAATTACCTTTTTTCAGAGGTCGAAGCTATATAGCATATTCAAATGATTTGAATAACAAGTAAAAGTGAGTTATAGTGTGCCGTCCTTCACCTAGAAAGAGATTGTTTACAGCTGCGGAGATGCTGAAAATTGAAAATTTTGTTAAAATCTCAAGACTTATGGCCACGACTTCACACACTGTGGAAATTTTTCAGGATACCTTCATCGATATGCCCACAGGCTTTTAATACTGAAATATATACTTTAACTCCTATAAAAATTATCTGTATATTCCGAGCGTTCCAAGCCCTCTGCCCCTTCTTTAAACAACTTCGAAACCAACCACAGGTTTTCTGATCATTTCCTGGATTGTAATCACCATTAAAAAGGGAAAGGAGTACAGTTGGCGACATTGTTTCAAAATGTGTTCATTTTATCACCTTACTAATTATCCCAAGAATTTTATCGAGGATTGCAGCAGCATCCAGTGATACATGCAAGAGCACCTCTTTAGTTAATATTTGGAAAAAGTATTACCAACGCTGTTTACTCGTCTCTTTGGAGCCCCTCTGTAAAGTAGACAGGGGAGACTAGAAGGTCTAGTGGTCGTCATTTGTGACTCTCGAGGAAGAAGCGCACTGTAGCTTTGCACACGTAGTCAAGATAATAAGCTTGCTAAACCTTCACGAGTAGAGCAGTTAACATTACAGTTTTACTTTATGCTGTTATGTCGCAAGTGTGAGGTGAGCTTTAGAAATTACAGTTATTTTCTTACGAAAAGCGATACGATTGTTTTTGTCTCGTAAACTGTGCGCTGCGGTAACTCTTACCCACTCGCCAACCATGAAGTAAATCCGGATCTGTTTTTTTTTTTTAGGCTCAAGTTATCATGGACACGAAAAGCCTTCTTGCCATAGTTTTCATGGTGATTGCCATTGTTATTCTGCTTTCTCTCACAATCTACACTGTGGTCAAATCATGGATGCAAATAAGCAGAGAATACGAACAGAGGCAACGTTCCTCGATGGAAGATACGCATTCGTTTGGAAACACGGAATGCGACAATAACGAGTCTGCTGCCCCCAATGATACCTTTACACTAGGTGAAAAGAGCAGTGAATATGCACAGGTTACGTCAGACTACTGTCAGACTGCAGATTCGAATCAGAATGAACATGGGGGAATAAAAAGTAGCAAATCGGCAGTAAAAACAGTTCTTGTTCAAGTTGAGACAAGCAATGACACCAGCTTTTAAAGGACGTTCTGAGTTACATTTTGATGTGGAACTTGCTTGGTTTTCTAGAGAATCAGTCAACAGATAATTTTTCTGCAGAATTATCCAGAGAAGAATGAAGAGAAACAGACATTAACCGACCTCCAGGGAATCAAATTCGACAATCAGAAAGCACTTTTATAATAAGGGAGAACATTAAATCTTTGTTGAGAGTGTAAATTTCGGGGAATGTCGTGGAATTACTCCGCCTCAGATACTTTGATGAAATTACAACAGCTGTTCATGCTCAGGTTTTTTTTTACTTATTCCTTGGCTGGAAAATCTCCCCCATAATTGACTTATGGAAGAAAAGTAGCCTTTTCCAGGCGTTCAGTTAGTCAAACGGAGCGAAATAGTAAACAGCTCGGTAGTAGCGGCGTAATGAAAAAGCGCGGGAGGCTTGGGTCGGTTTGAGTCGGGTAAAGAATCTTACCCAGACCTCCCTCGCCTTTTCACTCCTCCTCTTACTTACTATCAAGCTTCGTTTACCGTACTGAACGTCGTCTGGAAGAGGCTATTAGGAAAGCGATCTACGGAATTCAGAGTTGCCGTTCGTTTCATTAAGTACACCCATCTCTCGTTTAAATATTCTGCAGATTGTCTCCATTTTCGTTGTGACGCTAATTTTAATGTTTTCATTAAACATAAAGGAAGAAAAAGATAGACGAGATTATTTGCTGTAAATTATAGTAGCCTGGGTTAATCATACAATTTAAGATTTTTTAAAAGGTTAAATTTACTCCGAATCCTTTTGTAATATATAAACGAATTTTTTTTTTCAACGATTAAGATGCGATAGAAAGAGTACATTTATTGTGTTTGTATAAAGTCAACCAAATAAAACGCGCGAATTAAATGATTTTCTTGTCCAAAATTACGCCAATGGAAGGTAACAAAATATTGCTAATCTACTCTCAAGTGTTAGGAGCAGCTTTTTAGATAGCGGATGTTCGAACTTGATCACAGTGATTTCAGGACTGTTCTACACTCAAGGAGGTACAGTTTCCGCCAGCGGCGAGATGACACTGTACAGTTCTATCCACGAACACTTTTGACCCCTATGAGTGATACGCAACTAATTCTCCTAACAGTATCACCCATGAAAAAAACATGAAGGTCAAGAGAATAAAGGGTTTGATCGCTAACTCAAGAAACTCTTGATTGTTAGATAAATTCTTGTTGTACGTAACATACCAAATATAAGAGAACAGTATGGAGAATGTGAAACTGATGTTTGTATTCAAAGGGTTTAAAAAAGGAAGCAGAACAATGCAAATAATATCGTCACCTCGAGACACTGAAAATAAAATTGGGATTATTTTTTGCGAAAAGGTCTACGCGTTTGGTTCAGAAGCAAACTTGTATGCGCGAGGAAAAGTATACAGGCAAGGGAGTTTCCCGATCAAAGGAGAAGAAGACTGTGTTGTTGACTAATTTCAGCATGCCCTTGGTGTGCACTTCGAAAAAAAGATGTCATTTACGTTCATCGCTGACTACCGATTACAAATCTTCAGAATGTATTGCAGCAGCGTGAAAACGGCGTCAGGTGGCATTTTGGCCGAAAAGTAAAACCTTTTTCCGCTTGAAGACGCCGACGGAGTAAGAAAACACGATGACGCCGTCCTTCACGCAACACATGATATGCACCAAATAATCAGATATGTCCTAGGACAATTTGAGGTTTGTCATTTCATCTTATATGGCCGATTGGTTCCAAATAAGCCCTGTTCACTTTGATTCGACTTAACCAGCGACGAGTTTGCATTTGATTGGTTGAATGTGGGAGAGCGTGAGTTTCTAAACCAATCACGAATGGAACAACCATGGCAATCACGAATTACTTCCCCCAACACAATCGCATTCAATTAACTTGACCGTGATCGTTATCTTTCTGACTAAGGAAAATTCGCCTGAAAAAGAGCTTCTTTCAGTTGATTAAGAATAAGTTGCACCTGACTCTTGAACGTCTATCAAACACACATCAATAGGGATATCATTGACAGTCCTTTCTCTGTTTCTTGAATCTCTTTATTGTTAAGTTATTTGTTTGTTGTTGAGAACTTTAAACATAGTTTTATACAGTTTTAAGTGTTCTTTGTAAAAGCATTATCTCGCTAATAAAAGTCGGTGTGCCGTTGTTTGCGCGCGGACTATTTGCACAGATGGTAAAGTCTGCATTGTCGTGAGAAATTAGTGTTCTTTCAAATTATTTTTTGGCCTTTTTCTTCCTTCTGTCCGGCCCGGAAAAGAGTTCTGATAAAATTGGATTGCGTTTTTTCTATCAGCTAGGTATGCCTATTTTATTTTTTGTTTCTATCATACTTTTAAAGTGGACTTGTGTTTGACGGTCACGGCGAGAAAAGCTTGTTATGGGGGGAAGGTTTTTTTGGGTGATGCACCACCATTTTTCGATAAAAAGTCTACCTTTCCTTGTCGTCATGCAAGAGGAGTGTAGAATGTTTCATGGCATGGCACTCTATTCCTCCTAATTTCGCCTGGCTATCTTGCGTTTGAAAGCATTTGGTAAAAAATCGAAAATTGAAATGCTAGACGAAAATGAAATCATATGTTAGAATTTTTCCTTTTTAATTTGTCTCATTATTGGTCCGGCGGTTTAAAACAAATTTTAAATAGCTGTTTGTAAACGGCAGCCAACGAAGAAGAAAAAAGCTATCATTATTTCGTTCCGAAAATCACCACAGTCAATATTTAAAGTGTATACAAGTAATTTAAACTTCTAGGACCGAGCAACAACCAGCAGCAAGATAGGATTATTTAAATATTCCATGAAGAACAATGATGCTTTGATTAAAGGCGATCCAATTCTCCAGAAACTCAAACTGAAAGGTTATTGCTGATGGGGCGACAACCATGGTAAATTAAATTTGACTAAATTAAGAGCGTGTGCATGCCGCATGTGGAAGTGATCAGCAGTCAAACGAGGGATGTTTCAACATTAATATTTCAAAAAAAGATAGAAATTAAAGTGATTTATGAAAGTTCTCTCGAGAATGGACTGTACTGCAAAATACTGCGGCTTACGCGCAATATTGCGAAACATTTGTCACGATCACGTTAACAAGCCGAAAAGTGGATAAAGGACGTATTTATCATTACATACGTCAAAGTCAAACACAATCGAGGTATCATCCTAGAAAATTGTTTTTAATTTGTCATTGTAGTCCGTGTAAAAAGCCTCTTGATAGTTTGTTAACGCGAAAAAAAAAGTTCGAGAACATTTTCCAAATTTGGAGAGAAAAAGTCATTCAGTTTCGTTAGACATGCAGTGCTTTCTTGGCTGCCCTTGGCATTCCCCGCACTCTTTTTTAAAATATTTATTTTAATTTTCAGCTATATGACACGCACGGAGGCAAACCTTTAAATAAATAGTGATTATAAGCAAAGCCAAACGGCGAAACAAACTCCGATTTTACTTACTTTTCCCATAACCCTTAACAAAAACCCTGAAGATAAATGGCAAGTAATATCTCTTGTTCATAGCCAGTGTGTATATGTTCATTTAAGCGCATAAACGGCTTAAAGCAAACGGCACGAAGTTGGATTTTTGCTGTTTGCTGCAAACGTCATGCATATAACCTTTTTTTTTTATATTTTTGTCCGTGTGCCCTTTGGAGAGTGAACGAGTACATTATATGTGATTGACATACAGCGCAAGGTATTTTGCATTCACGACTCAAATTGTTATTTACCAGTACATTTAACGAGGGATTGAGGAGCACGTCATTATTACACGCTACCATTGACACTTTTTAATTGGTAATTTAAATTTTTACCAACAAATTGTGAAATGAATTCCCATTTTCAGAGAATTTTTCATTGTTGTATTTTTTGTCATGTTTTTTTTTCCTGGAAGAGCATGGCACCTTTGATAAGCGATTTGTGCACTGACAGAAACGGGGAAATTAAACATTCTTGGTGGATAAGAAATCAAACCCCAGCAACAAGCCAAAATTGTATTATTCAGAATGATATATGTAGCCTCTCTAAATCAAGTTAACCGCATTGGCCAAAATTACATTCGCCTTAAACAAACAGATTAGCTGTCATAAGCAATCTCCTCTGCATGAGATTTAACAGGCTGTTTTTCCAAGCCTCCATTTTGCCTCCTTCTTGTTCCTTACTCATGGGAGCTCGACATCTGTAGAGGAAACAAACGAAATTGATCATCATCTCTCTGTTATATACGTTGGCTTGACAGGCAGATATCAGTATTTACGCTCCGTTGCTAATGGAAGGGTACAGCATTTTCGCTCTGGTTCTACTCTGTGCTGCTCAGACGTTCTGTAGCCCTGTCGACTATCAGAGTTCATGTAAGTTCATTTTGATATTTCAAAATTTTTAAAATGATTGTTGAGCACAAATACCCATAACGGTGAAGGAAAGCTTTGCAAACGCGATTTTGGCATGGTTTACTGTGCAAAAAGAGGGAATCCCTTGATTGATTTCCAAATCTCATGAAAAGTATCCTCGGCTCAAAATCGGCACGCTGAGAAGTACCTACAAGCAGCCTTTCGAGAAAAAGTTGTTTGAACTTTCATTCAAATTTTCCGGAGCAAAAGGAGAATGAATTTGTTTAATTTTACCGAGAAACCTTTCCTCTGTTGCCCTGGATTTCCGTTTGTTTCCCCTATGCTAGATCATCTATAAAATATAATTTCAGAATTTTCTCTTATATGTGTCAGATTTAGATTTGTTTACAATTAGTACCACTAAGAGTATCAATGATGATTTTGAGAAGCTGGAATAGTTCTTTACAAGATTTGTAAGATTTGGGCAATTTTCTTTGTCAAACAAACCGGAGAAAAAAAGATTTATGATAGAGCATAAACGAATTCAAGGCGTTTGTAGATAAATCTCATCTTTCATATTTATTTCCAAAGAGCAAACATGATAAAGAGGTGTTTCTCTCTTAGGCAAGAGCCTAATTGCTAGTTACCCTGGGAAACAGTTTAATTACCAAAACCTAGTTTTTACAGATTTGTTAGTTAAAAAATCTAAAAACTTCTCAACCCACTATTTTAGCATATCAAAGAAGTCTGGTTCATGACGATAAAGATCAACTTTCTGGTGACGACACGATTTTGGATCACATCGTCAAAGTTAATAAAGGTACCCCTCCTAAAATAAACTCGTAAAATGTTATACGTGCTTTAAATATTCTTCCTTTTCTACTTCTACGTAAACGGAAGATTTCTAATTCTCACATGGTAAACAACTCTTTTCTGGCTGACAATTCAGTGTAAATAGAGTATAAAAAATTATGCGAAGATCAACTTGAGGGCAGAAAAACACGTATTTTTATTTCAGGATGTCAATTAACTGTCGTCTTGTTAATACCTCGTGGACGTTTTGCAATATTTATATTTTTTCGCCTTGTTTTTAAAGTTTAATTGCCTTTCTCTCGCTGAGATTAGTTCCTTCACAAAAAAAATCAACATTTCATTTCTATCCCGTGTACCATGGCCTTCTTTATGAATTTGCAACTGCTTAACTTAGGCTACCTTTTTGGACCCCTTGGGCATAATTTCTCCTTACAATATCAAAAAAGTACCTGACAGACAACTGAGGAGAATAAAGAAAAATATCAATTAGATTATCAGTTGACTCAATACCAAATTCTCCAAACTAACAACATAACAATTGTACGTCAGACAGTAAGGAGAATTGCTAATGAGATCTTGGGAGTAAAAGGGCTAACTACTTTGTGAATTTTCAGTCCCCTTTGACTCAATCGTAACTGAAGTTAATTAGTAAAATTATCAATTGTATCACCTTGTTGATATTAATATTGTTGGTTGTGTTGCCCAGATGATGACGTAAACATGTACGAGGCAGATATCGAGTTATCACCTGATGACAATGTCGATCTGAGTGATGATGGTGATGTGGACGGATCGGGGATAGGTCTGAGGGAGAAGCGCAATGCTGCACGTGACCGAAAAAAGCTCTGGGTTACTCGTGTTATCCCTTATGAGTACGACAGTGGTCTTCCTGGTGAGAGCTAGCAAATTATAACAAAGCTAACAAAAACTATTGATAGACAGAATTGAAACTGAGAAAATAATTAAATACACCTCATTAGAGCTAAATGGAATTTAATGTTAAATCCATCGAATGATGATCCTATATTAGCTACAGAAAGCCACTGAAAACATAGGTAAACATTCAAATTGTTGGTTAGTGTTTCAATTCCTTGTTTTCCAAAAGATTTCGGTGCCAAGATCAAAAACAAAATAAGTTGACTTCGCGGTTCCTTTATGCATTTACCACATTAGACTATTCTTGACCAGGCACTGAGTATTATATATGCTGACTCTGACCAACTTCCAAATAATTCAGTTTACTTCCCACCAATCCCTTCAACATGGTAGGATACAAATTTGATGCTAAATCGGAGGGGATCAGTTTTCAAGTGGGTGTTGAAATTAACCTGTGTTTTCCCTTCGTGGTCTTCTCTACTTCGCTGCGTATTAATTGGTAAGGAGACCTTGCACCACCCTTTTCCACTGATGAAATACAACACTAAAGCCAATAGCGAATTTTGATCTCCTGCATTTAAACGATTTCAAGGATATCAGAGGAAAGTTAACTTTTCTGGCAGCGTATAGGAAGATACAGTTCTGGTTATCAGCTTATTTCTTGAGTAAATAGTCTAAATAGTGATTGTCTTTATTTTTTCCGAAACTTTAGACAGCTTCAAGCCAACAATTCAGGAAGCCATAGCCGAATTTGAGACCAGGACGTGTCTGAAATTTGTGCAGAGAAGTAGCGAGACCTTGTTTATCAAAATTGTCCATGAGCCAGGGTGAGCAAAAGTCTTTTCAAAATCGAATTCTCCTCAAATTCTCATCGAAGTTCACGTCACGTAAGCGCTGTACATTATCTCATATTACTCCTGTTCTCCTCGGCCACAGCTATTTCTCTTAAAACTCGCACCACTCTCTCTCATTCACTCCCAGATGCAAACCTAAAACCAGTCACTGCTTAGTCGATCACATTTTCCCGCGCTTTAGGCTGATTGGCTCTTAAAAGTAATTTCCTTTCTTCTGATTGGCTGTTGTGATAACTTTGGTTTTGGTTTTGGCTTTTACGACACGAAAAGACCAAAACCAAAGTTATCAGCGTATTTGTCACTTTGAGTTCTCAAAAATTCCTTGTAATATCTAACTTTGTTCCAAATGGCCCTGATTTCTTAGTTTTTGTTTCACGAAAATCTATAGAAACGCATATTGATTGTTTTTGTCAGGTGCTGGTCATCAGTTGGTCGTCAATATTGGAGGTCAGGAACAGGACAAAAGCTGTCTCTTGGTCCCGGGTGTAATCACAAAGGGACCATCATGCATGAATTGATGCATGCTGTTGGTTTCTGGCACGAGCAGTCGCGACCAGACAGAAATCTTTACGTGGAGGTACTTTGGGAGAACATAGCGGCTGGTAACTATCATTGATTATCCCGTTATTTAGTTTGTTTTTCTTGGATGATGGGGAACGAAGAATTTCTTTTTCAGTGTCTTGTTTCAATGCAGATGACAACATTACAGAAATTGCATCTTGATGGCAGCTATGTAGAAGAGGTTCTTGAATTTTGAATTCACTAACTGTCCCACTTCATTCACGTGGCTTTATGGTTAGCGCCCTGGATTCTGTATCAACAGATCTGGGTCCGTGTCTTGGCCGGGCAACACACTTCATACGTACTGTCCCTCACTTTGTACAGAAAACAAAAGAACGGGTAACGGCCTCTGTAGTTAAGAAGAGTTAAAGTAATGCTACCCAGGGTAGGGAAGGTAACTTTATGATGAACTAACATTCCTTCCAGGAGAGTAACTATACTCTTATTCACTTTCTCCTGTCTTTAAGATGAGGATCACAACTTTAACAAGTACAGCCATCGCGATATCGACCGACTTAAGGTCCCGTATGATTTTGACTCCATCATGCACTACGGGCGTAAAAGCTTCTCCAAAAATGGCAAAGAAACCATCAGATCCATCCTGGATCCTAGTAGGACTTTGGGACAGAGGAATGGATTTACTGACCTTGATGTTCATGAAATAAATGCACTCTATGATTGTGCAAGTGAGAGGAGAATTGTTTTTCTTAGTATGTAAATAGCTAGGCCATTATTGAGATAGACGTGTACTAAACGAAACTTCTTGGTGGCTCTTTCTGATTCCAAACCATATACCAAAATCAATTCAAGTGGAATTTATTTCTTAACAAATATTTCAAGTCTATTTTAAACTCTAAGTATACATTTGCCCTCTAGGATTGTTAAGAGGCGAAACAAGCCTTCTCCCGGCCCTAAGCGCCCGGGACTCTCTAATCAAGAGAAAACGAAACAGAGATGTTTGTCTCGCGACCGTTCACTGCCCTAATGAGTTCTGAGTTGTCTTTCATGTCAGCTTCGAATTAAGGTACATCATGAATAGGAGATTGTGTACCAGAGAGACACAAGCAACATCAATACGAAAAAAAAAACTTTTAACAACCCAAAATTTTACGTTTTGGTTCTAGGGGAGAAACGTGAAAATTTTTTGTCTTTTTTTTTTCTCATTTCTACGTCTTTTGTTCATTAGCAAGTGGCAGTTGGAGTACCTGGTCAGAATTCGGTCCATGCAGCACCTTCTGTGTTAAAGATCGTCAACGTTTCTGCACCTCTGGTGACGTGGATAAGGACTGTCCAGGAGCGGACCAGTACGGAGTTGAACTAGAACAAGTCCAGTGCAGTGACAAGGAGTGTCACGGTTTGTTACAATCAAACTGCTGCCCAATTTTATGGCCCCAATATCCTATGTAATCATCTAATCATCCGAAAAGTAGGTGATACACCTATTTAAATGGGTAAAAGGAGAAATTATGGTGCAATCGTAATCAATCACCCTGTTCCTATGTTGCCTTTCAGCAGCCACATGAACCAACCAGTGTCCAATTCTTTGTGTCGTTTGGTGTTATTTTTCCGCCACGAAAGGTGGAAACCAATACACAATGCTTTAACTCGACAGCTGTAGTTTTTGCCACTCATTGAACTGTTCCACTTCCAGTAGGAAGAATGGGCGAGGATGGGAAAATTCTTTAGCAAGGGGCCTCCATCAGCATCTTGCTATTTTGTTTTCTTTGGTTGTCAATAATTACATTTTTTTAAAAATCCATTCATAATTACATTTTTTTAAAAATCCATTCATAAAATTCCTTCCAATTGCACAGCACCCATCGACGGTCACTGGGGCCGCTGGTCATCATGGGGTTTGTGCAATGCTGAATGTGGGTTTGGAACACAAACCAGAACAAGATCCTGTGACGATCCACCTCCACGATATGGAGGCAAACAATGCACTGGTATCTCGAAAGGTTCCCAAGACTGCAAACTGAAGTCATGTGGAATCGGTAAGTCGATATCGGTAAGACTGAGTGACTCTGGCTTGTAGACACACAAAGCTTTTTGCTTGTATGGAAAGCCGACAATGAGCCTTCCTACCCAGGGCTACACGCGTTAGGTCGTAACTTTGACCTTGACTAAGGAATCCAAGGCTACCCTTGAGGCTACCCCAGAGGCCAATCCAAAGGCTACCGTAGTAGTGTCCTCTGTCTAACAATAGGAAAAATTTAATCCCTTTTTGTAAGTTAACCTAAAACTTCTGCATTGTTAGCTAGACTTGTTTGGTATTTTTCTGGCATAACAAAATCGTGTCATTATTAAAGTGTATCGCTATCCTACTAGGCCTAAGTAACTTTATAATAGGGCATCGCACTCTCTATCGGTTCATGCATATGTAGAGCCTTTTCTGCACAAAAATTTTTCATATAGGCCCCACTTTTATCATTCTTCAGGGCCTTATGATTGTGAATTTGACTTTGATGGGATGTGCCATTGGAAGACAGATGACAGTAATCCCTCAGGTTTCACCTGGGAGCGAAACTCAGGCACCACACCTTCGTCTAGTACTGGACCATCCGGAGATCATACATCCGGACCAGGTAAAAATGAAGATTTATCACAAATTTATATTCATTCGTCCTTCATGAAGGTTTACATCACCGCATCGCCAGAGGGACAATTCAGCACATTTAGCTTTAACAAGAAAGCATTGTAGATACTGTTCTTACATCTGAGGGTGTAGAGTTTTCAACGTCTATGTAAGGTGTCTGTGTAAGGTGAACAAAAGGTTGCAGTCTAAACGATAGTAGAGTTAAAAATAACTCAAGGATTGTAGAAACTTCAGTTGGTGTCACGACTTCTTAAAAATACCGATATTGCAATTATCATTTGTTCCCCACGAACTGCTCGGACCTTTTCCTTACCTTTTCCATCTGGTGCCACACGAGCTAAGAACCAAACAATGCCAGCTTGCGGTAATGAATCTATCGCTGCCACCTATAACCTAAGCTCTTTCTTTCTAGGCTACTACCTATATGCCGAAACCAGTGGTATTCTTAAAGGAGACCAGGCACAGCTTGTCAGCCGAACCTTCCCTGCAACTAACGGTCGTTGCATGACGTTTTGGTATCACATGTATGGCTCAGGGATGGGAGATTTGAATGTGTATGTCAATATCAACGGTACCAAACATAAGGTCTGGACCATGTCTGGTGACCAAGGAGACGAATGGAAAATGGCCAGAGTTACTCTTGTTAGCAAGGGGTACCAATACCAAGTAAACACAACTTATAAGTCTTTTTTTAAGTTTTTTTACACCCAGCTTAATCCTCAACTTAAAGTCCTTTCGGAAATATTTGCACGAGTTCAATTGTCCTCTACCCGACGCAATTGTCTTTATCTAGGACTAACCCTTTTTATGACCAAATTCTGATCTGCTCTCAAAAAAGTATCCTTCAATCAGATTAAGACCTCGTTGGTGCATGAAACCAAGCGTCTTCCAATGACACAAACAGCTTGGAATGTTTTTTTTTTGGGGGGGGGGGTGGGGGGTGAAATGTATTTCCTAAATCAGTATCTTTCCTGAAAGTCACCTCAATGCAGATCTGCCCATACACGATCACACTTTGTGTTCGTATTTTTTACCCTCTCCCCACGCGAACCAAGACATTGCTACTGGACGATATAGAATGGTGTGGGACGATGGGTACGATCAATGCAGATCTGCCCATACACGATCACACTTTGTGTTCGTATTTTTTACCCTCTCCCCACGCGAACCAAGACATTGCTACTGGACGATATAGAATGGTGTGGGACGATCAAAGGATTTCCTAAATCAGTATCTTTCCTGAAAGTCACCTCAATGCAGATCTGCCCATACACGATCACACTTTGTGTTCGTATTTTTTACCCTCTCCCCACGCGAACCAAGACATTGCTACTGGACGATATAGAATGGTGTGGGACGATCAAAGCGATATGAACTGCTTCTTAAACCGTGTTTCTCCACCTTAACTGATGAAATGACTTACTGACTTTTTTTCTCTGCAGGTGATATTCGAGGCAGTTCGTGGATCAAGTTTCCGAAGTGACATTGCACTGGATGATATAAGCTTTAAGGATTATCCTTGCCGTAAGTCACTTCTTTTCAAAAACATGACGCACAGTCTATCATGATATCTCGCGCAATCTCTCTAACGGGACGGAAAAGGTTGGGGGGGAGGGGGGAGGGGAGAAAGCCCAGAAAGTGTTAGAAAGGAACTGACAAGCGTCAGCACGGAAAGGGTATTAACCGTGTACACCCTAACATCAGAATACATATTCTCCATACTGTTACCAGAAATTTCCTATGGTGCTGACAAGGAGAATTTGTCTAACAATCAAGGGCCTCTTTAATCATTGTGACCTCTATTCTCGCGTGATTCGAGGTGTTATTGTTGGGAGAAATTTGATGCTAGTCACTCTAAGGGGTTAAAAGGTTAAAGCAAGACGCTCTACTCCCACATTTAAATAGTTTTGAGGTACGTTAGCTCATCAGCTATTATAACTATAATCAAAACCTACCCAAGTAGCGAACAGCTGACAGTACGATCCCACGTGGTTCTGAATGTGGAGGACTTTAAGCATAAGCGTGGATTTCTTTTTATCCTATAGTGGAAGCCGTCGGTTGTTACTTGGACAGCGTCTCTGCGCGTGCGTTTCCCGATTTAGTTAAGAACTTTCGAGGACATATAGACTGGTACCACATAGAAAACACCATCGGCGACTGCGCCAAAGAAGTGCAAAAGCTAAACCTCGCGGTAAGTCCACGTAAAACCATAAAGGATGCCCATTCGTATGCATTAGGAAAATTTGAGCGTATTTCGTATCAACAGCGGATAAGTTGTTCACAAAATCTTCATGGTTTTCAGCAGCGCTGTAGTAGTTTTAGGCGATCGCCAACCCTTCGTAACCCCTCATAAATGGAGAGTAAAGTTAGTTGATTAATCATTTCATGGGTAAATATTCTCAGACTCAGCAGAGGAGCTTCCTTGCTACCGATACGTACATTCTGTATTTCAAACTATGAACTCTGGGTTTTAACCCATTCACCCCCATGATCTGAAAACCAATTCTCTTCACTCTCTGTCGTACATTTTTTTAACATTTTCGCGATGAGAATTTGGTGTTCATTCGATATTTTGGACCCTCCCATGAGTGAAAGGGTTAAATCCACCTCTCTAAACCACTAAGATCTGAGGTAGCCTCCATCGTCGCCGTTACTCCCTCTTTCCAACGGAAGGGAATGGGAAAGAAAGCGTGACAGAATTTAGGGCGTGCTGCGTGAGCATCCATCAAAATAATATTCAGAATAATATACTTAACCAAGCCTGAATGGAGCTCAAGATGGTTAACTTTCTTGTCCTTCACTTTACTGAAACTCCTCACTGGCTGTTGAAGAGTTGACTTACAACTTAGTGACTGGTCATAATTTAAATAGGGGTGGGAAGAGGAAGAAGAAGAAGTAGGGGGGGCTTTGTTTTTTTTTTTATAAATGTTACAAATACGGAGTTTTTCATCTTCTGTCCCATCCTTTACTTTGCTCTCCTTAAGAGTGATTAAGAACGACTCTAATAAACTGTGCATAAAATGCATCAATCAATTCGAAGCTTTACCATCCCACAGGCAGCCCCCTGGAAACTTGAACTTTTGAAGATTGGCTTGTTCAAGTTCCTCCCCCCCCACCAACCTTGAGCAAAAATTGCCTCCTAACGGCTCACCCAATATTGTACAATTCTCTGTGTCATCAACGAATGTTGTAGAAGTCTCGTTTTCGTTTCTGGTGCCGCTGTTAGGTTTTTTTCATTAAGTATCATTCTACAATGTCAGGAGCTCCTGACAATATGAAAATTGTCTTTCTAATCCATTCACTCACCACAGCAGACTCTTTACCTTTAAACTCCTACATTAAAGCATGAGTATTAAGCTGAAAAGACTTTACACTTCCAGTTCAAATGCCTCACCCCACCCTGGCAAGGTTCAAATGCCCATGAGTTGTCTGGGGTTGAAGCTGTGAATCGATGGGTGCATAACACGATTCAATTATCTTTAAATAACTGTTATTGTGTTAGGTTTTTGGTCTTCAGTACTATGGAGAATGCTGGAGTGGCAGCCCAGAGAAGATACAGTATGACAAATATGGAATTGCCCCATCTGAGGGCTGCTGGGAGGGGGTTGGAAAGCATTGGACAAACTTTGTTTATAAGATAGTTTAGTAGAAGGTAAGAATGTTTTCATTCTTCTGAAATAGCAAACATTAACAGAAAGCTTGTGTTTATTCTAGATAGCAACATGACAGTGGAATTTAAAATCCCAAGCAGCAAATTTTCGTGAGATTGCCTCACCCTTCAGGCAATGAAGCAACAGGAATATAGAGCCTCAAGAGAAATAAAACAGACCCAACCAGTCTGCAATACACCCCATCTACATGTGTGCTGTGCACTTGTTGAGAAGTAGTTTTGAAGTGTTTGGTAAAAGAGAAAATCTAATTTTAATATTTTTAATTTGCAGCCTGGAAGGACATGGCTTATCAAACAAAGATCATTAAAGGAAACAAACCTGTTTAAAACAATAATAATTAAATCTAGTACTGGAAACTTAAAAAAAATCTCAATAAAGGAAGTTGAAATCATAAACATGGTCTTTGCTATGGATTGCTCCTTTTCCAAAATTCAATCTGGTCTAAGTACCATTTAATTCTCTTAGTGATAATAATTTTTCATAAGATAACAATTTGATGCTTATATGTGCCACTGCAACTTGCATGTCCCCAAAAACTTCACTTAAAAAGACCAGATGAACAAATAAACAAGTTTTATAATTAGCACAGTTGGAAGTGACCAGATCATTCACAAGAATTCTTTTCCCTTCATTCATTCCTTTTCCAGAAATCAGTTTCTTTAAACATCATCAAATTGCTCATTACCAATATCCCTAAGTGGTAAAAGGCACTGCAGCACTTCAATACAGTACCCCTTGCATCTACTGCAGCACCTCCCCCCTTGCCACTGATGTCAAGCGCATGTAATTTGTGGGAATTAAACAGGTTTCCAGATCAATCCTTTAGAAAATTTGCCATTGAATCAATAAACATCATTCAATTGTTCATTACCAATATCTCTTACTGGTCAAAGGCATGGCAGTATTTCAAGTACACTACCCCTTGAGTGTACTGTAGCATCCTCCCCCCTCTCCTGTGCATCAAGTGCATGCGATTTATGGGAATTACACAGGGTTCCAAATCAAACCCTTAGGAAATTTGCCATTAAATAAATAACAATTGTAATTTGTCTTCAGCCATATTCTGAATTAGTTGAGCTTTCTCAGACTTTCCCTAACTAAACAGGTCTGCACTAGGCTACAAAATAACACATCATTTTAAATTTTCATAACCTGTGCATGAGCCCAGTTTAGGTATCAATTTTAGCAAAATAGTAACTCGATAGAAGCAGGCATCTGAATTGTGTCAGTCATAATGCAAAACACATGGTACAAACTTAACACTTTATTCTACAAATATATTTACATTTTCTTCAAGATTTTCTGTAACAATCTTAGTGTAAGCAAAGGACATTGAAATCTTAGCAACAAATTTACTTGGAATTTAAGTTGACTCCTTTCCACCCACTTGATTGAAGAGTTTATTCTTAATGACTTGGGACATGAGACCATGTATAGCCTCAATGGATGTTTTGGAGCTGAAAAAAAGAAGTTATAAAGCAGCAAATATGCATATCATTATCAAAAAAATTGCTTTGCAAACCTTTTTAGTACTGTTAAGAATGACAATAGTGTTTGGCACAACATCATATTTTGGCATAATGATTAATTAACCCTTTTGACTTCAGGTTGAAAGATCCTGGGTTCAGCCATAACTTGCTTATTGTCCAGTGTCCTTGCCCCAGACGCTTCACTCTGATAATACCCATCTTTCACCCAGGTGTATAAAATGGCAAAATTTCAGGGAAACTTGATGAATTTCTGAGAGGGAACCTGCCATGCCATAGCATCCCCTTTGGAATGAGTGTCAATGCTTCTTGTCACTATTTGCTTGGGAAACTGGAAAGACCTGGCATCGTCACTCATCATACACTATACATAACTGTGTTACTTTCCTCTGGCAAAGGGCTAATGCTCAAAACACCAGCTTAGAAACACCTTAGGGTGGCCAATTTCTGCTATCAAATCAACTGATAACACCAAATTATCTTGTTGTACTCCCCAGCAATGCAGCACCACAGAAATGTTCCCCCTTAATCAATTATGTAAGTTTTTCAATATACCTATCTCTAGTGGTTTTTGCCAACTTTCCTTCCTCCTTCTTGTCTTGATCCATACCAATCATGAAACTCCCCATGCGACCTACCTAACAGACACAAGGCACTTTGCAAATCAACCACATGTGATTTAGACAATGTTTAGAATGTTTTGATATGTTTGCTAATAGTGAAAAACTTATGAAGAGCATATGGCATCAATTTGATTTCAAAGTAAATAACTTACAATTGGAAGAATATTTAATCAAAGAAAATGAAATTTTAAACACAGAGGAATCCAAGAAGATGACCAACTATGATATAGAAGTAGAGTGAATTCTGTTTCATTGAATGAAATGCAATTTGCATTCCCTCATTCCCCCTTGAAAAATGAGACTTTTTCTTACTTGAGATTCAGCTTGTTCTAGTTTTTCAGAGAGATCTGCTATTTGATGGTTGGTATAGTCTGCATTCTGAAAATAAAAGAAACACAGCACTCAGAACAGGATGCAGGGTTACAGGCTAAACTGCCAGCCAACATACATACACTATGAACTCAAAACCCATGAAAATCTTGTGAAATAATTCATTGTAAATTCACAGATTTTTCACAGGATATTCATGGTTAAATCAATGACATTTTCATGGTCTCAGTGCCATGAAAAAGACCTGAAAAATCCCATGAAAAACCTGTGAAAATTTCCATATTCACGACCCATGAAATATTGAGTAAAGTGACCTAGAAGCCATGAAATACCCATGAAAATGGCATTTCATGGCCTTTTCAAAGGTACTGAGAAACCCATGAATTTCAAGCCCAAAATTTCATGGTGTCAAAGTTCACTAGTTTTTAATGGGTTGCAGCAAATCATGACCCATGAATATCCTGTGAATATGTTAAAAATTCATTGACCATGAAAATTTTCCTTGAATTTTCATGGCCTCTACATGGTTTTTTCATGGCACATGAAAATTAATTGCCAGTTAGTTTTCATGGGGTTGTTAGGAATATGCAAGCACCATGAAAATTCTTTGAAAACCCTATGAATTTGGAATGAAAAATTCTTCACTTTTCTTGTACCAAAGACTGTACTACAGTGTATAGCTTGCAGTATACCATAACTGTAATACATACACTATCACTTAAATTATACACTGAAGAACTAACCTATCTGTGAAACTTCTTGGTCCTGTTGTACAAGCACACACACATGAAAGACATGACCAGAAGTTTGGATTCTCTGATAGTTTATTTTGTTTCACCAGCTGTACATAAATATTACTTTAGGATTCCAAAATTGTGATAATTCAGTTTACACTTTCTTAAATAAAAAAGTTGGTATGAAATTTTCTGCATACAATTAAGATGTTAATGATTTTTAGCTCTATTTTGACATCACTGATTTTCCTTGTGGAGACAGATTCTGCTCCTATATTTCTGAAGGTATATAATAAATTTGATGTGAAAAATATTTGGACGAAATTATTGAAAATATACTCACTGGCTTGATGTATTTTTGTCTAAACTTCAAATATCATTTCCTTCGTCTAATATCATGTGTAAAATGTTATGGACAGTTATTATAATGTCTATTTATGTAACAGCATTCATGTAAATTTCTTGATATGTTTTACACTTGTGATCAATACTCTCAAGGTAAATAACAACAAAACAATTACCAGCTTTCTGCACTCTTGCATGTGTGAAGATATATCTATGGCTGACTATGTCAGTGTCTCTCTGTTTTGGCCACCTGAATGTGCCATCCTTCTTTCGGTTATCATTACTATTTGCATCTTCATCATCGTTTGGACCAAGATAGGCTGCTTTAGCAAGTGTGCATTTCCTTTCATCAGTTTTGTAGACCAACACTCTTCACTGTTTGCAAAATAAAGGGAGCACATCATCAGTTATCTAAGAGCCTTTCTTATGTACGTAGTAAACCTAGAAATGGATAACTCGCCAAAACAGGTTCTTTTCAACATGAAGCCGTCAGATACTAAGCGACGCACTATGGAAGTGAGGTGAGGTATTTCGTATTCAGAATTTGACTGTATTTTTTATTCCTAAGAACGGTCGTAGGTATTTCCATACAAACTCTTGTGATGTTTCGCCAGATGATCACAGAATAAAAATTTTCAAGTTAAATCAATATTTAGCGCGTGCTCTCCGATGTTTACGCGTAATAAGATGACCAAACTTGAACTTACCCCTTCACGTTGTAATACATGTCGATAACTTCATCTTGAGGAAACCTCTTTGAAAAAACTTTTCAGACGGTCCATTGCGTTGATCTGGAAAAAAAGAGACTGCTACACAAACACTACGAGAAATGCAATTGGAATGGAACCATTCCGTTCGAGGTACGAAAAAAACCGCCACTTCTTCGTAAATCACGTGTACTTTCACGTGGTGACCTTAGGTCATCGCAGCCATCATAGGTCAGCGGTCACATAGTGACCTCACAGGTTATCGTGTTCGACGTTACGAAATGACTCCGAAGAGGTCTCGTTGCTGCGTCTGTAATCTTACAAAATAAAGCAGCACAAAAAGCTGTTCGGTATTTGGAATTCGAAGCAAGTAACAATCGACAGGACATCAGAGTCCAAGAAAGTCAGAGCTGACATCGACAGTGATTCCTGTGAAAGCGATCACGAAATCAACAACGATGTTGTAGAAGGCGATCTCAATGAATACATGAAGGTAACGTTTCATCCCGACTGAGAAGATGGCCTGCCTCTGTTAACCGGCGACTCTATGAACGAGGTAAAAATAGCATTTTTTTCAGGTTACATTTGCACACTATTCAAAGTTCCAAATTGAGGTGACAAAGTGATTGATTTTTCATTGTTTTGTTCCACATTTCGTGTAGATGCAATGCGTACTATTGCTGTGCAACTTAAGCATCTGTACTCTGCAGGTGCCTTACTGGAAAAGCCCTAGAAGATTCCTCAGTGGTGAGAATGTAAGAGAAGGCCTCGAACAGGTTTCCAGAGTCATGGCTAACAATCAGAGCCAGCAGTGAGGCAGAAAAAAATTCAACAAAGTCGTCCAGGCATGGCGAAGGCAAAAAGGCCCCAAAAAATCAAAGTGAGGATCAAATATCTGGGTCATTGCCTCCAGCCCTATTTGTCTCAACAAAGGAGCAAATTGAAGATCCATTGTTTTTAGTCATTGTTTTGTGATTTCCTGTACATTTTACGTTAACAAAGGCCACTTAAGATGTTTAGGGACATTTTCATTCGACGGTTTTCGCGCTGTACACCAAAATTCCATCAGTGCATAAATTTATAACATGTTAGTTCCACGGATCATGAAAGTCAGCTCGTTGATAAATCAGTGACTGTGATGAACTCATTATTACCACTTTTAATGGCCTATGAATTCATCAATGAAATTCATGGGCAACAGATTTCAGGGAATATTCATGGCCCATTAATTTTGTTCTCCCAAAACAAATAAATTGTTAGCCCATGAAATGCTGTTTGATTGCAATTCATGGGCATGAAATTCATTCTGATGACTTTCTGGGGAAACTAATGGGTCATGAAAGTAGACTTTGAAGAAATTCATGGGTCATGAAAGTAGGCATATAAAGAAATTCATGGGTCATGAAATTAATTCTGATGACTTTCATGGCAAATCAATGGGTCATAAAAATAGACTTTGAAGAAATTCATGGGTCGTGAAAAAAATTCCCCTAATTCATGGAAAATTCAGGGCTAAAAATAACCCCATGAAATTTCATTTTGCAGTATTCATGGGCCATGAAATGATCTTCATGGGTTTTTCACATGAAATTCATGGAATTTTCATAAAACTACAGTTCATAGTGATATGCATACATGTACAGGCTAAACTGCCAGCCAACACACATATGCATACACAGCCAAGAATACTACAGAAACTGGATCCATTTGTAACACAAAATGCCACTCTTGGATTTACTTACATGAAATGTAATTGATAGTGCAACCAAAGATCTCAGTATTGAAAAGGCCAAAATAAGTGAATTTAAGAGTAAGAAAAAAGCATTGCATTATCCACTCACCGTAAGTAGACTTGAAGATGACAGTGTATTTACCCAGTATTTATTCCACAACATCTCAAGAAGCTTTCTATCTAATGCTGATTTGAAATATGCAACCTCCAATGAATAATATCTGCAAATATTTCAAAATATGGCAGTTATACAGACAATATGGATTATTCTTCCCAAATCATCAAACTTTTCTTTCATTTCATCCTGTGCTTTTCAGATTTTGGTCCTTATACATTAAGTTTCTTGTCCAGTAGTGCTTACAAGGGGTTTATAAGCACTTTCTAATTTACTGAAAACCATCTTTCACACCTCTGCTTAACTGAGACAAGCAGACAAAATTTTTTCCCTGACTTCCTTATCATATGAAATTAAGAGGACAGAGATGTAATTATATGAATTTAAGTCCTGGGCACAGTTCATAGAATGTCAGTATTTAAACTATGAATAAAATCATCATTTATCGGTTCTCTTCTGCACTTAACATATAACTGTTAGGAAGTGTCTGCTTACTGTTTGCAATGGACTCCAAAGTCTTCTATCTTGTTCAAAGGAATAGTCTGATATTCAGAAGGTCCTTCATCTGGTGGCTTGTATCCCTGGATACCAAAGGAAACATTTAACTAGCATAAGTATTTAGCTCCTTCTAAAACAAAAATTTCCTCAGTCCTTATTATCATCAAATTTCTCCTCAATCTTACCTTGGGATATGTGCGGAATGCTCCTAAATTTACCTTTCCAGCTGAAATAGTTCGTGTGGGATCAATCTATGGCAGAAGCAGATGACCTTAAGGTTTAGGGCAAGTAGAGTGTCAATCAAGAAAGCTTTTAAAAGGAACTTATAAAGTTTAAATGCACAAGTTGAAATTTGCATTTGTTGTTATTTATTGATATTACTGTTGGATGTGAACATGTATCGTCCATGAGAAAGTAGTCCTGAGAGAGACTGATGTCGGTTGTAACCACTGACTTTTCAACAACCTGAGTGGAAGTCTCAGCTGGACAATCACACTACATGATCATGTTTTACCAGGGTGTGAAATTGCACCTAATACAGGCACCAATGCGACTAAATTTTTCACTTTGGTGACCAAATCCTGAAAATTAGTTGCCAAATTGGCGACTAGAATGTTTCATCATGACTTTACTTGTAGATATAGTGAATTACTAGAATCTGCAAAGATAAATCCATGGCAAACTTCCTTGTTAAGTTTGATTCCAAAATGCAGCACATGCATCTCGATAACTAGACACCATATTGGATTTAAGTTGCAGGTGAGCTTGAAGGTTGTATACCATCAATCCTAGTGTCCACTTTGTAGCAGGTTAAAGATCTTTTTCCTTACATAATTTTGGAGGGTCTATCTAGAATGCTGACAGCGTAAAAAAAAGGGTTTTGTTGGTCTTTGAAAATGGCAACCAACTTTCTTTGAATTGGCTACCACTTTGAAGAATTTAGGAGCCAAGTGGCTATCAGAAAAAAAAAAAATTTCACATCCTGTTTACCCCTGCATTCAAACCAATTACTGTTTTACTGTTACACTAACCACAATAGCAACAAAAGGTTCCTGGAACTGTTGATTCACCATCTGTGTACCAACATCAATTCCTGACAGCCAACAACCATAGCCAGGGTGACTATGATACCAACCAATGGCATTCTCCAGACGACCAACCTGCCATGGACGAGACTCATATTGCTAAATTGTATTTTTCACCCTAGCACCCTGTATGTTTATGTCTTGAAAGTAAGGTTGACACAAACCATAACCAACTGCAGTGCCAAGATTTACACCTTTTAGCATACTTTGTGCTTTTTTGTTTCTGAATAGTTTTTCTCTATGCAAGTTCATTTTCAGCGACAGAAAGCATTTAATGCAATCAATAAAAGCCATGTGTGCATCATATCACTGAATGAAGGTTAGCAACAATCCTCATAACATAATGAAGGCTTTTTCTTACCAATTTAGATGACTCAATGTATTCTGCCATGTATTCATAAGCTGCAGCTTGTGCATTGACTCTTGTCTCTGTTCCTTCAACTGGTAAAGCAAATGCATCCATGACAATCATGGTGTTGCCATCAACTTTGCCCAACATTAGTCCCATGACTTCCAATGTACCCCCTGACCTGGCATGCATCACCTAATAAATAAAAAGAAAGTCTCATGCCAGACTAAGTTTTATCCTTAGAAGGGTTATTTACCTCCCTACCAACCATGTACATGTACATTTACTCATAATAATGGTATGCAGGTAATTACTCACAAAGAAATCTGATTATATGAGAGAATAGTGTCTGGTCCTTAAACAGCCCCATAGGGGCTCATGTGTGGTGTAAGATGCTCACCAGCCTCATTCTTAACCAAGAAACAAACTTAACACAACTATTCGACTGATTAAGCCATCTTCTATGATGTATTATGTGTGATGGATGGAAAAAATAGAGAGATATTATCCATTATCTATTGTAAAAGATGATGTTTTTTTTTTCCTCTTTCTTGCCTTGATGTGTACTTGGGATACGAGAGGCCAGCTGAGTTTGGTGTGAAAGCAACCTTAACTTTGTATTGGTCTGCTTGGAGTTATGACCTGCATGCTTAGCACTCAGGCCACAACTCCAAGCAGAAAACTCAATCATGATGTAACACAACACAGACCACAAACTTGGTTAGTTAGAGTGGTGTACATGTATATAAATTATTCAAATAGAAAATCCAGGACAAGTATAATTCTATAGGAATATGGGAGGGCTTAAAATAAGTCAGCTGCCTGTCTAGAAGAGAAAACAGTTTCCTACCATTTTCAACAAGGCCAGCGCTGAAATTTTAATGTACTTGAAGTAGTGAGGGCTATAGATTGAATAATAATGAAATCGAAGTTAGTAAGTGGTAAATTATACATGGATACCATGTACTTTTTTTTTGCTGTCGAGGCATAAAAATGAACATTCGAGGTTTTTTGCAATGGTCAGATGCCCCAGTATACATAAGATTTTCCATACGCTAAATGATTTGACACAAAAGCCATGACAATTTCATTTACTTCATAGAGGAACTCACTCTTTCTGCCATGGTTTTGCTTGCAGAATTTCTTGCTGTTGCTGGCGGTCATACTTAAAAATTTCATCTACGCTGTTAATTGTCTCCATGTTATTGGACATTTCCCAAGTCTTAAAGGCCATAGAAGTATCCATTGAGGACATTTTTAATTTAAAATAGAGAAGAAAATCCTCAAGCTTGAATGAAGAGACAAAATGGCGGCTATTTACCCATGCTGCTTATCGCGCAGCACAAGAGTTGAGGGTCTGGGACGAGAAGGAAGAGAGGACGCCATATTGATAAAACTAGTGTAAACAGTGAAACGAGATTGTTTCAAAGCGATCTTTTTCTTGTCTTCCACGGTTTGGGTGTTTCAAGACAACAATTTGATATGGGAGAAGTGTATGCACCTACGGTAAGTGTTTTCAAGCTGTAAATTAAGAGCAGTAAGCCCTATTTATCAGGCACATGCTTTCCAGTTTCTCTTTGTTTTGTGTTTGCTACCGGCTTTATGTCATCAGCTGTTTGCTAGATCTTTCTTATCAACACGCGCTGCACTCATTGTTCTACATTGTTTATTTGAATTATTTTGCACAGTTTGTTCTTCGCTCCACGAAATAAGCGTACTTGGACATGACTGTCATTATTCAGAACTAAATATTTACATGATCTGTGATATTCAGACAGGTGTTGAATTAATATATGAATTGAATTTCGACTCTATTGCTGTACGATATGTGCGATCTGTGAAACGAGGATTGATCCGAGTGCTCTTAAGGAAACAAATTGGGTTTAAGTGGGCGCGAACTGGAGAAAATGTTACAAGTATTTCACAGGTGTGCAGTTGATTCTGCTCGAAAGTGCTCTTAGCTTGTGAAGCTATCATTTAGTCACTGCTTTCCTTCAGTGTGGATTAATACTGCATCACCAACAGTACATGTATATTAAATCATTTTTCATAACAATACAGATCACAATAAAAACAATGAACATTTTAAGTACATGTTTCTGGCCAGTACAGAGAATCAAGCTGTTGATAGGAGTCAGACGCTGAAAAAACAAACAGAGAAAGTTGACACAAATGTGTTTTTCAAAGATCACAAATTTGAAAATGTTGGCACACAGAAAAACCAAGATTTATCTTTACAACCACTCACAACAACTTTTGTTCTATGTTCCCATTTAATATAATATATATTAGAAATGTAACATGTACTATCTTAAAGTTTTTTTAAATATCACAGCACATTTAGAGCTTTATGTATAATATTTTCCCAGCAAATAATGTTGGAGACCAATTTGTAGAAAACTAATTTTGTCCTAAGAAAATAAATTAGTTTTCATAAGAAAATCCTTCATTCTGATTGGTGTATGTATCTGTTTCATATTAGCTATTAGAGAGCTGGGAGGAAAAATTCTCCAAAGTTGATACAAAAAAAATGTATTGTGAGAACATCCTATGCTAATTATTGTACTAAAATACTACCTTCAATGAGACTGGTACAATCATCAACAGAATGATTGATCCCTTCTGAAATTCTGTTGTGCCTGAAAGGCAATGCTTTTTATCAACTTTGTAAAATTTGGTGCTTGTTTTTGAATAGATGATAAGGTGGTTTCTTTTTGTTTAAAACATCTCTTGACTCTCAGTTTTGTGGTAAAAAGCTGCAACTCTGACTGAGCATAAAACTGGATTTTTCTTTTAAAGCAGATCAAAATGTTAGTTTTAGAACTTGAAAATATTCCTCTTCTGTGTCCTGTTGGTTGAGTCCATTGTGATAACATTATTGTGGTTCATGTCCTACTCAGGGTCAGTCTGAAGCAGCACAACTTCTAGCCACTTTCTGGCCAAGGCAAATGCAAGAAATCAGAAATATGAATACAGTAAGTACTCTGAATGATGGAGTGTATAAAGACAGGGACTTTTAGCCCATTAGACAACATTATCACTGTATGAACAAGTTTTAGAGTAGTACATGTGAAGTAATGCTCAAATGTAGACATTCTAGATTCAAAACTCAATCCTCATTGCTTGTAAGTTTGAAATTTGAGTTTTGATTTTCAAGAATCATAATTGTAGTTTCAAGAATCAAGAATTGAGTTCTGAAATACTTGAAGACTTTTTCAAGGAAGTGAGCTTATTTAATCCAGCATGGAGCAGTTATGGTACATATAGATAAAGCACTTGATATGCAGCTTTCTTAGTGGTGATAGTTTCAGTGGATTCCATTTTCCACAAGACCTAAGTTCTCCTTTATTTATCATTGCCAATAACAGACAAAATATTCCATCACATCTATAATACATGTTACACACAGTGATAATGATGAGGCCAGCTTTCTTCTTCCCTTAGCACTTCATTTGTTATATTCCAATATACTCTGTCTTTGCTAACTACAGCTGAAGTTAGTCAGTTTTTAGTCACTTTTTCATCTGTTGTTTCTCAGAATGATTTCAAAGTTCAAGAGTTACCATTAGCAAGAATCAAGAAGATAATGAAGCAAGATGAGGAAGTCAAAGTAAATGTTTTTGCTTCTATTGTAGGTTCTTTTGCAGCACATTTTCATGTGGACATAGGCTTAGTTATCATACATAAAGGATATTACATAGTAGAACAAACATGTATTCAGATGTCATCCTCAAGCAGAAATACCACTTGTACACATTTGTTACAAACAAGTGCTGTAAAACACTTGTCTGTATGCTCAATTTATTTAATGAGGTATGACCCTAAACATATTTTTTATACATTGTTCTCCTTTGATTTGTGCTTGGACAAATTATTGTATCAAAGCAAAATTGTTTCTTTATACGTTAACAAGCTCCTGACTTTTCACATTTTGGTGCAATGAACAGTCACTATAGATATGTAGAATTTACATCAATGCAAATATGTATATATATAAATACATGTTTTAGTGCTATTTGATTGCATAGTTAAAAAATGAAAGGCTTTAACTCCTACTTACCAATATTTGTTCTGTCTTTCTTTTATAGATGATCAGTGCAGAGGTAAAGGATTAGTCTTGTTCATTATTGTGGAATACACAGATAATGTATATCAGTGCAGTTTGCTCAAAAGATGATGCAAACATTGAAATATTTTCATCATTATTATGGTATCATTCCTATGGGTCATTCTGGGTTTCTTGTTATTTTCTCCAATGCAAAGCTTAGGAGAGATTGTATATCCTTTGCTTTTCCCAGTTAACTCATTCTGCATTCTTTTTATTTTTCTAACATGTGGTTGCATTGGTTAAAAAAACAAGGTGTCAAACAAACTGTGATACATTTTTGGGGTGTGGCTTGTTTTCTGATCAATCAATTGGCAATTTTAGTTTGACTATCAATAACGTGTTATCAATGAGTTGATTTCATGGGTTTTTATACATTTTCTTTTTCACTCATCTTTTTCAATCTTCTCCCACTACTTTAGGATGTGCATCTACATTGTACATAGCACAAAGGACATTTCTCTGATGTACACACATGTAGAGTGTACTATTGCTTTAACTTCCCTTTGCTGTCATCTTTAGAACTGGTTCTTTGTATTTTGAAGATTTAAATTTTTCTTTATTATTTTAGGCTCCTGTTCTATTTGCAAAAGCAGCTCAAATTTTTATTAATGAGTTGTCACTCAGAGCTTGGATTCACACAGAAGATAACAAGAGAAGAACCCTCCAGGTACAGTGAACATTTCCCTTTGGATCTTAACCCTTTACACTCTAACATCAGTATGGATACTCTCCATACTGTTTTCTGTACATTTCCTGTGGTGCTGACAAGGAGAATATGTTTAACATTCTGGAGCTTTTTAAATTGGTGATCATTTCTTGTATTCTCATGACCTTTACATTTGATTCAAGGGTGATACTGTGAGGAGAAATTAGATGCCAGTCACTTGTAGGGGTTAAAGGATTATGTGGTCATGTCAACAGTTCAGCTTTTGTGACTGGAAGTGGTAATTGCAGGGTAGTGATTTGTGGGGGTGTGTGTATAATTAATTGACCACTCCCCTTAGGAGGCTTTCAGGGCAAATACAGACAAATTGAAAAATTGTGAGTAAATGGAGTGTTGAAAAGCCCCAAAAGGCAGAAGGTAGACCAGTTGGCTATATACAAAGTGCAGCCAAGGAGTTCAACTCAGAAGAACCGTAACAAATCCAGAGAGTGGGAGGGTGGAGGGCTTGAACTGGGACCATCAGATTACAAGACTAGGGCCCTTAACCACTTGGCCACACTGCCTCCATAATCAGATGTGACAATGCTAGAAATCATTAAAAAAAAAGTGAATGTAAACAAGGAATTAAAATGTTAACATACTGAAAGTACTGAAATTTGTTTTACTTTGACTAACACACTATAATTACTTTTATTTTTTGCAGAGAAATGACATTGCTATGGCAATTACCAAGTTTGATCAATTTGATTTTCTCATTGATATTGTGCCAAGAGATGAACTCAAACCTCCTAAGCGACAGGTAGTGATTAGTGACTTTCATAAACTTATTTTATTAATACACTCCTTCAAAGGAAGTCTTGACATACTTAAATTGACATAATTATAGCAGAGCTCGCAGAGTGTGGCCCCATAATTATACAAAATAGTAGTATCCCATCAAGCCGAAAAAATTTGAATGTACGACCATATGACCGTACAACCGTACAACCGTACAAGGTGCTACTTTTAACATGTGTGGTCAACTGTACTGCGGGCATGCCAACACCATGGCTTTGTTCAGAAGTCCAGTGGTCAGTGCACTGGGCTACGAGTCAGACGACCCACACTGTAATCCTGGCCGGGGCAAGGCGTTGTGCCCTTGAGATGTGCAGGAAAAAAAAAATGCGAGCTCCGCTTTTAGGCTTGGCTAAATCTATATATTACCAAGACATACATGACATACTCACATGTATGCATGAGTAGAATTATTACTCAGGAATATGAATAAACAAGTAGAGTGTATGTTTGTGGGCATAAATATGCTCTGGACCCTTCTCAGAGTCATTTTAACCTTGCCTAACAACTCAGGTTGAAATGACTAAGAAAAGTCCAGAACTTAATCATGCTTAGCAACATTAACTGTTTAACTACTACAATAACCTTGGAAGGCATTGAGAGAATAAAAAACTGAAAAAGATTTTAAAGAAACAGCCTGAACAATTACACAAGTGTGGGAGTGGGCTAAAATATATTTTAGCTTGAAAAATATGCCGTAATGCCCAATAAATTTGTAATAATAACTTTAACTGATTTGTGCATTGTAATATTGTCATCTTCATATCAGGATCCAATTCGTCAGACAGTGGTTGCTCCTGATCAAGTTCAGTACTACTTCCACCTTGCCCAACATCATGCAGTTTCAATGCAACAGCAGCAGCAACAGCCTCAGCAAGGACAGCAGGCACCACAAGCACAACAGGCGCAACAACAGATAGCAACACAAGTGCAACAACAGCAAGTGGCAGCCAGCACCCAGCCTCAGACTATTATAACTGGTGTGCCAACACAGCAAATTGTCACCATGGCAGTAAGTTACATTTATCCCCAGGAGTAGCAAAAGTTTCACAACATTTTGATAAAATTTAATGGTTCTGATTAAATCATGGATGTAAGAACAACTTTACAGTGTATGTGGAAAATGTTAATTCCTGCCAAAAAGTAAAAATGGCAAGGAAGCCCTTCTTAGCAATGTGCATTCATTCATGCATCTTTTGTTTCAGCCTGGACAGGCTCAGATGCTACAGAACCAACCACAGGAACAAAGTGATGTTCAGTATCCAGTTAGTAAAAAGGCTATTACTTTACATGATATTTGAGATCTATTTATTTTTTCCACCAAATGAGTATTTTCAGGCTTTTCTTATGATTGTAGGGATACAGCCCTAACCCTCCTGAACACAAACCTAAGAGAAGAACTGCAAATTGGATACCTCACAATCAGCAAGAATAAGGTTTATAAACTGGGCTTTGGCATTCCAAATTGTCTGAGAGGGTTTTGGTTATCCTTGGGGTTATTGATGTCAATACACTCAGTGAAGTCCACAAACAGGGACAGGGGGGAAGTTTTTTTATATCTTTTTTGTAATGTAATTGGACTACATGTATCTTGTAACAATCACAGGGTTTTCTGTCAGTTTTTGTAAGCTTACACATGGCTTTGCCTAAATTTCTCACGAGAGAGAAGATCACCACGGAATTAAGAACATGGCAAGGCAAATCCTGCCATTGTTGTTGACATCACTGTTACAACTGTACATTGTCAATGTTCAAAGTACAAATTTATAAGATGGTTAAGAAAATCATAGATAGTTTAATCAAACAAAGTTATGTTCCTCTGATGAACAATTACCACTCTTAATTGTTTTACCTCTGTTATCAACAGGTCCATTTTAACTCTCCACAATTGCAGTACCTCCGTATGCAGCAGATTCAGCAACTTCAACAACAGCAACAACAACAGCAGCAGGCACAAGGCCAACAACAAGCGCAACAAACAACCCAACAACAACAGGCTGCACAACAGCCTGCACAAACAACTGCTGAACAGGCACAACAGCAGGCTCAGCAGCAAGCGCAGCAGGCCACTGCTCAGCCAACGGAGTTTACATTCACTGCTGGAGGACAGGTAAAAAATGACGCAGGTCAGAGGTATTATTTTAAAGGGGGTACGTTTCTAAAGAAACTGTGGCGCTGCGTCGGTGGAATAGTAAAACAGGGTAATTTATTATTATCAATTGAGTTGATAACGTAAATTGACCACCGTAAAGAGTTTCAAAGCTGACTTTACGATCGTTAGCCCTTCGTTAGAGCTTAGAAGAGCTTTAAACAATTTGTTATATATTTTCATCATAAAAAATACTTGAATAGTATATTTGGATGTCACAAACGTAATTTGTCGAGGCAAAAAAGGCAACAATGTTTGGTAAAGAAACAAAGATGGTAGAAGGCGTAGAGTATTTCATATTTATCACGACTGAACATCGATAAATTCAGGGTAAACTTAACCAGGTGAACAAACCAGGGAGGTTTCACAACTGTAGCCTGTCAGAAGTATGGTTAGTCAGAAGTTTGTTGAGCAATTCTCTATGCAGTATCAAATTCAGGAAAGGTGCTGCTTTCATTTGTGAAAGGACTTTCAACAACATTCCAATGTTGCCTTATTTGAAATAAGTTTCGTGTAAGTAAATCACCAACCGGAAGACGGATACGAGGTAAAAGACTTACATCCATCGTGAGACAAGTGAGTACATTTCTCTTTTGAAATATCATTCAGTGTGTGTACCCTCTTGTTTTTTTTCACTACTAACAGATTTACCAGCTTCAGCAACATCCACACACTGGCGTTACTGCCGTGGCTGTAGCAGCACCACAGGGAACTTATATTCAGCAGCAAGGCGCCACAGCAGAACAAGCCTCACTCACAGCTACTGAAGCACAGCAACAGCAATAGGAAGGTAACTAAACCGCACTTAACCTTTTATAATATAACACATTAAATGTTTATAGAATTTCAGTCAACAGATTGTACCTCAATATGCGACATGTAAAAAGTCGTGTCAGAGTTTCCTGAGTTTAAACTTACTTTTTAATTTGAGATAGAGCATTTACATTCGAAAGACTTGCTTCAAAGCTCTCAAGTTAAAAAATTATTAAAAAAAAAAAAAAAAACCGAAAACGTTAAAGTACAAATTAAGACACAAATTTTTGGTTTATTATGTAATGGCATCTCAAAAAGGTTCTGCAAAGCAGACTAAAGGGAGGAGACTAGAGTGCTTTTTGAATGAGTGTCACAAAGCCAAATCCAAAGAAATCCCAAAAGCCAATCATTGCAAGGAGAATATCATTATGAGCTAAAGGGAGATCGAAGTAAAAACAAACAAACTACTTGAGGCGCGGGAAAACGCGGGTGACCAAGTCGTGATTGGCTGTAGATTTTAATTTGATTGTTTTAGAACAACTGAAGTACCGTGAGTTTTCTGGGCCAATCACGTAACGAAGTAAAGGAAAACCAAAGCAATGAATTGACACTCAATTGGAAGTTCCTTTAATGTCCACTATTTGATTTAATTTTCATAGTTTGATTTTTCTTTTCCAGGTTGTTGACCTTTTGAGGAATCCACTCTAAATTTATTAGAAATGGAACAATGGAATACTCTGCTCATGTATATAACGGCGCTGCTAAACATTGGCGTGACGATGTGCTACTGCAGATACATCAAAGTGAACTAATTTATTTTTGCTGCGATTACTGCCGCTGGCTACGATAATATTTTATAAATATTTTACACATGTTGTCACGCAATCGGATAGAATATATAACGAGAAAAAGCCAAAAGTCTGGATAGGGTTTTCTTTTCCCTCAGAGTTCAGTGAGAGAAAAGAAATCCAAAGAGTTAAACTTTTTAGGATCAATGTCAGTATCTGGGGAACTGTGCACCAACCCCTCCCCCCCTAACCGAAAAGTGACTCTTACTTGTTATCAGTTGACTGTTGTTGGGTTAGGGGTGGGGTAGGTGCACAGATGCTTAGATACTGACAGGGATCCACAGTTTGCAAGAGAGTAGGAATATTGAGTAAAAATATTTACGTGGAAGTACGGTATACAGTCTGTAAAGATTGGTTTCCAAATTATATCAGAGAGCATTTATTCGTTTACCGTTTTAACTTTATCATTTTACAACAATCACCTTTGACGAGCTGAAACCAATCAAAGGAAAGATATGAGAGTGTTCAACCCAACCATATTCAAAGTCTTAAAAGTTTTCGAAAATACATTTACTAACGCGATTTTTTTTTGTGCATGTTTTTTCACCCCTTGGTATTTATTGAACTTAAGTTTACCTCCTACATAACCAGAACTTCAAGAAGCTCTTATCTCGCTATATTCTCCTTTTCAACTCAAAGAAAAGGAAAATATAGATAGAAGAAACCAACCTTAAACTTCTTTAGTCAAGGCAGCTTGTAGTTCATCAAGACCTACCACTTCCTAAGTGATGTAAGGGTACTTTGCCTCTGCTGCCTAGAGGAAAATCCTCTGTCTTTATCCCCTCTGTCTTCGATAGAGCGGTTTTTAATTGAGTATCGAAAATAATCCTATATTGCTTTGGTCTTGCGTTACTTCGCTCTTTGATTGGTTCAGAAATCTCACGCCACCATCTCAACCAATCAGATGAAAAACGTAAACCAATACCAACTGTGTAACTCGCGTTTTCCCGCGATTGAAGCGGGTTGCTTATTTTACTTTGAGTTCTCATTGGTTAATGATGACATTAACCTTCGTTCTGATTGGTAGATGTGATAACTTTGATTTTGGCTTTTTCACACAGTAACACGTTGGTTATTTATCTTTATCCCCATTCTCCACTAGTTGAAAGTTCTTATGGCTGTTTATGAATCGTCTGGCATCGATCGTGCTTTTATTTTGGATTGCTCTATAACATTACTTCTTTAATTGTGTCTTGTATTGTACCTTTACAAAGCGTAAACATTCATGTACTTTTTTCTTTTCTGTATATCAGCCAATATATATCTTTTCTGAATCATCTGGCATCGATCGTGCGTGAAATTTTGAATTACTCTATAGCATTACTACTTTAATTGTACCTTTACAAAGCGTAAACATTCATAGCCCTTTTTTCTTTTCTGTATATCTGCCAATATATATCTTCTCTGAATCGTCTGGCATCGATCTTGGTTGAAATTTTGGATTACTCTATAACATTACTACTTTAATTGTACCTTTACTAGGCGTAAACATTCATAGCCTTTTTTTCTTTTCTGTATATCAGCCAATATATATCTTCTCTGAATCATCTGGCATCGATCTTGGTTGAAATTTTGGATTACTCTATAACACTACTGTAATATTACCTTTACTAGGTATAAACATTCCTATACTTTTCTCTATATATCTGCTTTCCTCTTATTCTTTTCTCTTTTCCTTTTTTGTCAAATCTTTGTGTCAAATGACCGCTATTTTTATTATGCATTAAAAGCTATTTACAACTTCACTGGAAAGATTTCGTGCTTTTTTTTTCAGCAAAAAATGGCTGTTTCTAGCGCTCTGACTTGTTGCAAGTAGACCTGTGAACATCTAACTCATTCCCCATCGTTTGCGACACATCTCTTCTTTTGATATTTACGAGCGAGCACAAGAAAGATGTGCGCAGAGTGTCTATGCTCTGCAGTGCTGCTGCGCATTCATAACCACCAAATCTGGAACTGCGGCGAGTTAGTACGAACATAATATGGTGTTGTTAGTTCGTGTTGCCACGTATACGCCCTGTATGTTTAGACTCCAAACCGGAGGAAGACTGGTTCTCGAGTACGACTCCATACATGCTTGTAGACTTTCCGGGCGATAAATCATTGTAACGTAGACCGTAAAAGTTAAAGATATCTCGGAAAGTGTGTTCCCAAAGAGCGAAAAAGCGAAACGGAGTGAGTCGTACCACGAAAGGAAACTGTTTGTTGCATGTTTTGCGAAGAGGTTAACTAGTACGTCGCCACTCGATTGCATCTACCTAAAGTTTTCCTCGCTTGCGATTAAGTAAATCTAACGAGGGCTTTTCCCTATAAACGTAGCGTGAGTAGCACAACTGACCAACAGAGGTATTATCGAAGGAGCTATTTCACGCCATATGTTATTGCTGTGAAATAGAAAGGCACAAAAGCACAAAACAGGCGGTATTAAATCAGCAGAGAACACAGATAATTTGGTTTTATCAGCTGAGTTGATAATGTAAATTGGTAAAAGTAAAGAGTTTTTAAAGCTGACGTTTTTCTATCGTTAGCCCATTGTCAGAACTCAGATGATACAGGATGGGGAAGATTGGATGGGGGAGATTGGAACGGATTGCAAACAAACTTGACAAATATAGGTTAAATTTTTCAAGATACACAAACTGTGACGTAACTTATTTGAAATCCCGGGTATGATATAATAGAAAAACTAAATTCACTCTGTTTTAAAGCTAAAGACGACTATTTCAATCCTACTATCAAACCTACTATGCTGTACTTTTATCAACATGTGGTCTTAGACAGACTCTTTTAACACGAACAGAAATGCGAAGTCTTCATACGAGTGGGGATTGGGCGGAACTTGATTGTTGACACCATTCCCCTCTCTATTTTCTTTACACCGCTATCTTCCTCTTGCGTCAAAGGAAATCTTTGAGAAAAAACTCTCACCAAGTTTAAGCTTACATTACCTCGTTATTGACTTCTTTGTTCAAATAAAGGAAATAAGTAATGAAATTGATGTTTATTTTGAGATAAATTAGACAATTTTATGCAAATTTAACATAACAGGATGAATGTGATTGCTTTAAAAAAATCTCTTACACATACACAATTTTGAAACAGTTATTTCGAAATTGTTTAGAGGTTAAGTCTACAGAGGTCAGGGGTGGTCAATAGCTTGTCTCAGCTGTGGCCATACAGCAAACATCTTGCTTGGTTGTTTGCCTTTGATCTGATTAAATAGACCTCCATCAACTTTGGGATAGAGAGTACACTTTTAATACGAGGGAATTTATCGAACAGTAGGGGTTTGAATTTAGCATAGAAGACCATGTGATCTTTTTCTAAGGAGAAAAAAGTGATCCTAAGCACTGGAATTCGCATGAATTGTTCATTTTATAATGTTTTACTGCATGTTCTTTCTATTACAACGTTGCTAAGATACGCTTCTTTATATTTATTTAATTACCAGAGATTTAACACTTAAAGATAATATCATTTTTGAATATTTGTGTTTTCCGTTATCGCGGCGTATTCCATTAAGCCATTTTTGCTGTTTCAATAGCGCTAAAAAAAGTCGGAAATGTGTACAAACTTCCCGCAAAATACAACGGAAAGAGGTCAGCCACTTATAAATTTCACAACCAATTGTAACTCAAGTAAGTGGCATTAGGAAATTGCAAGTCAGATTCATTATTAGATACGGACATTTTTTCTTGGTTTAATAAAACGTGCGAAGTAAGCGCTGACTGAAAAGAGGACGCCTGTCTAAACAAGCTTTTCTCATAGATTTGCACAATAGACAGATTCATCTTTCAATCGCCATACTGAATAATCCCTTAGTTCTTGAGTCAACCGTGCACGACGTCTTGGTTAAACAAGTGAAATTGATACGCCAGTGTCATCCTAGTATTCCGCTCGCTTCGTTCGATTTCCTTGGCTAAAATCATCTTATAATGTAGGATAATTGTCTTAAGCATGCTCTGTCCAATCATAGCCGGATTATGGCGAGTGTAAGAGAAAAATGTCACCTTTTCTATAGAGCTTTGTAAATCTCTGCTCACGTTGCTAAGGAATTACTGTTATTATCTTGGGAAAATGGCATATGAGGACTTCTGCTCTTGGAGGCAATAAAAGGCCAAGGAAATAAAGAGCGATCATCCTTTCTGACACTCGGCCGATTAAAGAGAACGTGTTTGTAATAAC